GCCGATGCAAACAGTTAATCAAAGAGTTAATACTGTATCATAATTACGCGATGATCATCGCGGTATCGTTCGCTGGAAGCCCCGGAATTGTTCAAATGATTATATTTTTTAAAAAAATAACCTTAAAACGTCTTGGCATCCAATTCAGTAAACCCAACAAACGCAACTCTTCCACTTAATTTGTTAAAATGGCCAATAAGATAATCGCGTTTAAGCATCGTATGGGAATAAATGAGATGGAAGATATCATGGCCTTTTATGAGGCATTAAATTAATAGCCAAGTAATTATAAGGAATTAAAGAAGAGTTTGGAAAGGGAGGGTTTCTCCTCCTTGGACGTAGAATAAAAATCGTCTTCGTAGATTGGTGCCAGATTGTTTTCTGTAAAGGTCGACTCTGCCGTTTCCTTTCCCCCCCCCCACCTCACAAAGAATTATGCTTTCCGCATAGCAGCTGTGATAAATGGGCATCGTCGCAGCTGCTGAATGCAGTTCTGCAGTTCGGATGGGGATGAATGAAGCTGCACCACAGAAAACACTTCTCTAATAAATGTTTCTATCGAACACCAGAACTTCTTTCTGGTTGCGTCATCCTTATTGATCTTATTTACACTTTGTTCTGTCTTTAATAAAATTTCGGCCTTCCATAGGAAGAGGGTATTTGAAAAGATGCCCCGGGCATATCTTATCTGTTAAGAACTGTTACCTATTTTTTTTTTTTTTTAACGTGGTCCTTCGGGCCATTCTGGCTTATTATTCCTCTTACAGTACTCTTCCTGTGCCACGTGGAATGGCTATTTTTGTGTTACGCTAAAGGTATTGTAGTCACGAAATTTCTAGTTTGGTATTGAATTAGGGGGGTGGAAGCGTAATCGAGGTGTCTTGTGCGAGAAGTTCGATTTTTATAATGTTTAATAATGTTTTAGATGATTTTTGTTTTTGATTACAATTAATTAACTCCCTAAATCGTAATTTTTTAAATTTCCCGCTTTGTTTTCCCCACAAACTACAAAAGGTAATAAACTAAAAGGAGATATCACAATACTGAAAAATTAGGGAAAAATCGGGAAATTTAATACTAATTTTTAGGGAAATTAGGGAAATTTTTTTTACATTTTAGGGAATTTGTTTTATTGGAATTAATTACACGAAAGTTCCTAAATGGATAAATTAAGCGGTGGTTTTTCTCTTTTGGTAATCGGGAAATTTAGGGGAAAAAGGAGGAATCTTAGGGAAAAAGAAAGGAAAGAAGAATACAAAGAGGGACTAATATGAAAAGGAGTAAAAAATTCGAGTGGAATGTATAAAAGTAAGAGAATTTTTAACAAAAATACGTGAAATGAAAATGACAAAAGATATTTTGAGGGAAAAAATGAGGGAAATTTGAAAAAATTAAGATAGAATATGTCATCGTTTAAAATAACTTTATTTTTTTTTCACTTTTAATCAAAGAAATAATTAATTTTAGCAAAACATTATAACGTAACGCTCACAGTTATGTGACAAAATTTACTGTTTTATGTATTTATAATTCACTAATTACAGTAACAAAATACACGCGAACAACCTTACAATACAGGGAATTTAACTTGCTGCCTCCATCTACCGGCACAAATGTAAATTAAAAACAAAAACAAAGAAACGTTTTTCGTCGTACGTTTCTAGTAAGAATTACAAAATTTTTCCAAAGATAAAAAGTTCTATAATTGAATCAAATAATAGTAAATTATCCAGTAAAAATAATTCTCGGATTAACAAAGGGCGCAGACAAGTATTTGCCAACATTTCGGTCACGCAAATTTCAGGTCCTTAGGGAAATGTCTAGTGTTGCGTAGGCAAGCAAACAATTGGCTGCAGGGCAAAGCAGGCAAATTGCATGACCGTAATAATAATAATAATATATTATCGATTGGGGCTACGATCCCTCTCTCTTTCTTCCAGTGTCATATAAATTCGTTAACCGCTCTCTTGTTCTACCTTTTCCACTTGTTTCTGGCCGCCATTTAAAAAAATTAAATTAGCTCGAAAAATTTCCCGTTTAATCTTCGTTAAAATGCCGACTTTTCCCCGATACAAATTAACTGATAAGTGCATTAATTAGTTAAATCCATTTAGAATTTCGCTTTTATCCCTCGTCTCGCTCCTTGTTAAAGTTGGAAAAATCGATGAAGGGTCGGCTTCACCGCATTACTTTTTCTCCATTTTTAAATGACTGCCGCCATCTGGAGGACGATTGCTGAATTATTAAGCAACAGGCACCTCTATATTGAATCATTTTATAAAAACAATACTTCATATTTTATAAGAATTTGGTCTGACATCAACGAAGATGGCGGAGGAAATTGGTTCTGTTGAGGTCGAGCGAAGAGCCATTCTGAAATGCCAGCAATATATAAAGTTTACAGCCAGAATCTGCAGGTGGGAAGGAAGTGAAAACAATTTTCACTTCCTTCCCACCTGTAGATTCTTTTTGCTCTCTGTGATCTGAAGAATTATTGAAGAGAGATCCTTTCATAGTTCTAGATGTAACAGTTGCTGTTGGCATTCAGTTTGAAAACACCACTTAATGTAAAAATGTGTGTGTGTGTGTTTGGGCTTTAATATAAAATGATTTAAGATATAAATCTAAAATGTACATCTCTGTACATTGAATAACCTTATTTATATCCTTGCAAACTTCCAAAATTCCAATCATTAGAAAGATTATCAACAATTTGGTGTGTATGTGTGTGTTTTCCATTATTTAAATAATCAGAATTGTACATAATTTAATCTTAATGATCTATTCAGTTTAATTTAATTTAAATTAATTTTAATTTTTCTCATATAATTATAGTTAATAACATTTTTAAAATATTGTATTATAAATGTATTGTAAAAATTTTGCTAGAACATTTTATTTGATTAAAAAAAAACTGTGTGATTCCCTAAATTTGCTAACCACATCAGTAGCTTGGACTCTATCACTTAATATAAAGAAACTTAGCTTGTTGATCTCATTTTTTTGCTACGAGTATAATTATAAATTAATAATCCATAATCCAAGCAACTCGAGTGCATTGTACGGTGGCAGCCGTCCCGATTTATTCGCCATTAATTAAAATACCGAATGTAACTTCCCGTTTCGAAGGTACGACTTAATCTCTGTCTGTCTTTTTTTTTTTTTATTTGTGGGAAAGTGGCATGTGTATTTTTCCGCATAATTAGCATTTTGGAAAGTTGTTTCAGTGTTTGCTACTCCCGAAAATGTTAACTTTTATAAGAAGAAATATAAAAAAAATTGGAACAACATAATCATATACTTTATTGATCATTCATAAACATACAGTTTATAATGTTGATAACATCCTTTTGAGCCGACAGGTACAAGCTCTGACATTTATAAGGAGCGATGAAGGAAGATAAATCTGATAATGAGCGGCAACAATCACAAATTATGACAGATTATGATTACTTAGAGACAAAAAAAAAAAATACTTTAAAATAAGGTAAAAGAACACTATCAACCTGGTGGAAGAGATATATATATATATATATATATATATAATATTTTATATATATAAATTTCCAATATTGCAAAGATTTCATTAACAGGTCAATAGTGGAATGTGTTTTTTTACAATTTTTTTTTAATATTTTTTTTTTGATAAATAAAAATTATATTAATTCTATGTAAACATCCCTGTTGTAAATCACAACTCTTTACATTCACATATATATATATTTCAGTATATTAAAAACTATGTAACTATTTGCTCATTCACCATAATTTATTTTAAACTTAAATGGATACTAAAAGTATTGAGTGCATTGACTATTAAAAATTTGATATTTTAAGTCTAATTCAATTTAATTAAGTTATGGGAACTTAAAATTGACTCCGAATCATCCCGGGGATTAATTTTTAGAGAGCAAAAGTCTATGGTTTGATTTTTCTCTCGAATTAAAGAGAGGACACGATCGAATTTTGTAAATTTTCCCTGCACGACAATGTACAAAATCGGATAATCTGCCACAGATTGACTGTCGATGCTCCCGGTCTAACATAAATATATTTTAATCAATTGTAAAAATAAAATTAGATCATTTTTATACATTATATAATGTGTGTGTATAAAGTATAATTATAATTATTGACTAATATATAATATTTTATCATTTTTTAAAAACAAAAATAAATAGTTAAGAGATGAATTTCTCAAATTATAATTTTTCTTTTAAACTTAATATATTATATATACATATACATATATATGATTTTATATCCATTAATAGAAGGCACAATTTCCACCACACAGCGATATGTGTTATTAAATTTTTTTTTAAACATGAATCTAGAGGGGGGAAAAAAATCTCTACGGACTGTGGCAATGTCAAATCTCAAAGACTAGAGATGCTATTTTTCGGATGCTCGATCTCAAGCAACTCAAACTAAGGGCGTGGAATACCGAAGAGGTACGTAAAACATATTGATTTAGTATACTATTGCTCATGAATAGACGGAGATAAATTTTGACAATTGGCACATTTCTCTTTGCTGTTTACTATGAAGATAACATTGTTTTTTTTTTTTTGTTTATACATGATGCATTTCTGCGGAAAAATATATATATGTATATATAATTTTATTTTTATTTTTAAGCTATTGCATCTACGATGACGTTACGGTAGCATGTACGTATTTATGATTATAAGAAACACTTTTTTTGTCTTCTCGTAAAGATAAATATCTGACTAATCTTACAAGACATAATCTTTTGAAAAATTAACATATTGCACATCTCTGTATCGTTTTCTTCTCTTTCTTCCTATGTACAATTTATTTATTTATTTAATTATTATTATTATATATTTATTTTTAAATATATTTGCAAATTCTTGCAAACTTTACAGTATATATATATATGTATGTATGTATAGGAAGTGATATGGAATATTTATTATAAAAAATTCAAATTGCTTACACTTTAAAAAAAAAGAGAGAATGTTTACAGTGATGCATTTTTTTTTTTTTTTCGTTCCCTCTTTTCCATTTAGATGAATTTTAACAAATATATTACAATGGATCAATTAAAAATAGCATTTCATAAAAGTTTTGTAACCTCTCTTGTATATGAAAAAGCTTCCGCCAAACGTTATCACAACACTGCCTTCGACAGCTAACTAAAAACTCAAGAGACATAAAATTTCATTGAATTTCTCAGGAATTAAGACTAGTCTATATCTAGAATGTTAACAACTCTTGCCCATTATTTTAAATTGGAATAAATAATAATAAATCTAACTTTTTTTTTAATTATTTTTAAATAAATTACATATTTTCTTCAAATTTCATTAGTATATATCTTAATTTCTTTTTTTTATTTATATAATAATAATAATAATATATATATATATATAATCGGTTTGGCTAGAAAAATTGACTTTCAAATGCTGCTGTAAAAACCAATGTTATATGAAAGGAGATGGGACAACAATTAATAGTTTGCTTTGGTTACCAGCAGCTTATTTTTCTCAACCATATCCCATAATTTGTATTTTTTTTTTTTTAATGTATACATATATAATTATTTATTCCCTGAAATCACATTTTGTGAATGTACATTAAAAATAATTAGTGCAATCTTAAGAGGCACCTATTATTATGCAATAAGGCAATACGACCCGTCCGACGCTCGGAGGGCGACCCGCCGGACAATTAGTTTATAAATATATCGACAGCCATCTTCGCGGTGTTGCGGGTTCTGGCGGGTCGCCCTCGCCGCATCTCGACAGAGACTAATATAGAGATTTTTTTTTTAAAGTTTTTACATAATATGAGATGATATTCAATATAAAAACATTTTGAAAAATTTTTTTTTCTTAATGGAAGAAGTGAAGCTATATAAAGTAAAATATGATATACATATAAAGCATTTATGTAAAAGAAAACATGATTTAAACCAAAAATAAAATAAAATAAAAGTAAGCCTTTACCTTGGTAAGAAATTGCATTGCTACTGTGTTAGTTTGCATTTTCAGGCAATCAAACTCTGAAATGATCTGATGTATTTCTATGTCGTTCTACAAATTAACATAACCCATTACGGTGTGGACCCTCGAGTTTTATGAAAATTGGGCAAGGTGCCGTCCAATACAATTTCGTTTGCAACAAAGTCAGAGTTTTTGGGCGAGTAACTTTGTCGCACCGTGTAAGAATTAAAGCAAAATTTACAGATAAAAAAGCTCCTATATTTGACTATGCTATTTACAGTTTTGATAATGATCAATCAATCACTATTGTTTCGATTTTCACCTTCTTTGCCTTCTTCTGTAGCGACGGAGACAGGCGTTCTTCTATCACGATGCAGTCGTCGTCGCACTTTGTGGCTTCCGTGTTTGCCAGTTTCCTTTTCCTAGAGCGTGTCGTAGGTCCCACGACGATTTCGCCAGAAACGGCCGGATTATCGTTCACAAAAACTGCATCAGTCATTGCACAATGATGTTTCGAAGCATCACTTTGTTGAGATGGAAGAGTCGATAGGTAGGCTGTGACTTTTGTGTCAGAATAGTTGAAAACGGAGCTTAGTCCTGCTTGAGAGTCGTCTCTTGTGGGAATGAATCCGAGCGATTGAACAGAATCACAGGTTTTTGTTGGAGTGGATGAGACAGAAAAACACGAAGATGATGATGATGATCTTGCCGAACTAGTAGGAGAGTCACAACTGCTGCTAGTACTACTAATGGAGGAGTAACTCTGAGCGTCGGAACTCTTTTTAAGCTTTCTTCTCTGGGCCAGGGGAGCCGCAGAAACGTCCAAGAGCCTGAAACCTCCTCTCGTCGCCATGTGAAAAGCGTCGAAAGTGGCCTTCAATGCACAGTCGGCCACCCTGGGCGAAGACAGCGAACTCAATACGTCGGGAGTCATCAGAGGAGTACCAGAGTACACACCGCGTGACTGACCCTGAACCCAAGGATGTGTCCTCAGCTCGGCCATGGTTAAACGCTGACGAGGATCGACAGTCAAGAGACCTCTAATTACATCTTTGGCTTGGTTCGACACCATTTCCCATTGTAATCCAGAGAAATTGAATTCACCTTCTTTGATACGGTGCATTATTACAGCTGCACTAGCTTCTCTGCTGTAGGATTGAAAGGGTGCCTTTCCAGAGAGCATCGTATACTGCAGAAGGAACAAAATAATAATATTATTATTATAACTTAATTAAATTTTTTTCATAATATATTATATTGTTAAAATAATTTAATTTTTTTGGATCATTTCTGATTTCGTGTATGAACAAAGTTGAATGAAAAATATTTTCTAATCACCATTCACCTTTATATAACAGACTACATTCTTGGACCTTTGCTTCTGCTAAGTAGCAAAGGTCTAAAAGTCTTCTATTAGATTTTTCCTTTGTATCCAAAGATGCAACAACAAAAATTTTAATATGAAGTGTGCATCATATGTCTGAGCAGGAACATGTACCATATCTTATAGATTTTACAATCGTTTAAGACACACAGAACACTAATGAGTATTGGAAAGTAGAGTACAGTACAAACATCATGGTGCAGGTGAACTATTCATACATGAGTTATTCACGTAGAATTTACACATTAAGACTAAGGGTGCAGAATATTTTCAGGACCCAAAAAGTTTCCCTATTGTCTAGTTGAGACACTAATCCATTTTATGCAATGTTATTGCAGCTATTGCTGTAAATTTTCCCAAACCTCATTCGTGCATTTGGATATATTCTGCATCCCTACTTAAATTATTCTTGACATAGTTTGTGTTGTAAAACAAATAAGTTGTTTTCAGGAATTTCTCAAGACTATGCAATCCTGACAGTCAACAATTTTGTGAGTAAAAATTAAATTAAATTAAAAAAAATGCCATAAATATTCATTCTTTCTTACAGTTCAGTTAAGAAATTGGTTGGCTCGAGTCTTCAATAGTTAAAATAATTTCATTTTATTTTTAAAATTTTTGTTGTGGAAATCTAGAGGTAGAATGAATCATATTATTACTTGAATTTAATACTGAGACAAAACTTTTTAATATAAATAATGAAAGACAAAAGTTAATGCAATGATCTTAACATTGGACCTCTTTCTTTCAAATATAATCAAATTGTATTCTAAAAGCTCTGCATATTATTTTTTATATCATGTTTCTTTATTATTGGACTTTTTAAAGGAGATGGCAGTTCTAAAATCTACTAACTCGATAGCTTACTTCAAATATAAATGCTGTAGCTAACAGTTAAAATTACTACTAATACTATAATCTAATATTTTAAGCTTAATTAAAATCAATCCTCAAAGTTAACAAATATTAGGAAAATACTAGAACTGGTTTTTTAAAATTATATTGCGGGATTTTCTCTCTCTCTCCTTAGTAGATTGATTTTATAATAAACTAGCTGCAAGGACCCGCTTCGCTGGGCGAAAAGTAACAATAGTAAAGATTAAGATAATTGCATTATAGCTAATCTTACCCGTTTTCACAGAATGCAAGAATTAGGTCCCCCATTTCCAGACTAATTAGAGAATTTTTACGTTTAGTCAAATGAACTATTTTCAACATTTCTGGAACGTTCTATAATCAAACCAATATTCGAATTTTATGTTCGAATTTAATTCAAACAAATTCGAACAAAACATTCAAAATAGAAAGCCACTTTCAACCACTTTCAGCCTCATATCTCCCGCACCCTTATAGCTATCGAGACACAACCACACCTATGCACGAATGGAGACTTGGGGCTACCACGACATACAAACACCACTCACGTGCGATGTGTAGTTTTGGCAGAAAAGTGAAATATAGGGACATACATGTCCATTTATATATATATATATATATATATAGATAGATGAATAATATATACTGTATAATTATCTTATTATAAATTACTGTATGTTTAATTTACAGGCAGTTATCACTAGTGAAATTGCAACTAAAGTGCAATTCAATTGAAAGAAGAGGTGGAAAGTATGTAAATTAGGAGAATAGGAAATAAAAGTAAGATATGCAAATATCTCTAAATGTAGCCCCAACATGTACATAATGTAACCATACACCTGAGAAGGCTTTCAAATTTTAAAAGATTTTGTGGTGAATAGCTTGTCATCACTACTTGAAGCATGAAAGAGTGAAGAAAGGAAGTTGTTTGGTGCAACTGTACAATGTCTCATATATAATGATGCATGGGATATCACCAACTTTTAGAGACTGAATGAGATAGAATCCTAGAACTGTGGGACATCAGATTATCCTTGCAAACTATGTTATAGCCTACACACGATAAACAACATTCAACATTGTTGGTGTTCTTACAATCATTACAATATGCAAACACAACAATGAAAAAGTGGGGTACAACAACAAACCTCTGTGTGAATAGAAGTGACAAATCCTTTTGAGACTCTTTTCCAACAGAATGTTGTTCATGTTACTGCAAAGATAGCCACATCCACCTACTTTGTTTTATGCACCAAAGTGGATGCAGTGTGATACAACATTTATCAATGGTTATCTGAGGACTGGCATATCCCACCAAACCAAACTGCTATCAATAATGCAATATATAAATGATCTGCCAAGGAAAGATGCCTCCTGGAAGGACTTTCTGTGGGAAATTGATCTCTGTTACAAATGTGAACTTGGAAAACTCCACATGGACAATGTATTGGTATGCGGTCATAGGTTCGTGCATCATCAGTGTTCAGTGACCCAACCATTGACAGAGCCTTATTGATAGTTTGTATATAGTGGTGTGTATTGCTGCATACAACTCGTGCACTCGTGGAAATTATCCAAGATTTATTCTGTAATATTTCCACAACTTTACATTGTTCTATGATTTTTCTTTCATGGCTATGCAATTTTGCTATTGATGACTGTAAATTATAGAAAATTATTTACTCTAGATTTTCATTTTAATTTAATTTTTAAAAAATCTCAATACATTTCAAAATTTCACATAATAATTCTGCAGTATGTGCATTGTAATGCAAATAATGTTTTACTGATTAAAAAAAAACATAATTTCTAGTTAAGCTATATTTGGGACAAGACTATGTCTCAGAGACTCACTACTAAGCAGAATCACTTTGACGCTCAAGGTGGGTCTTGTTCTCCTTCTCTAATCTTCTTTGGTATCGCTGTTTTTGGGCGTGATTGTTCAAACTTTGCTGGTCATGACCACAATGTTGTCTACGATGCATTTTCAATGAAATTAACCTATCCAAATTTCTCTCCATTGCATGTCGGTCCGGGTTGAATTTTTATCAATGTGCAATGAAAATTTCCCATTTTTGAAAAAAATAATCATGGCTATTGTATCATCCAAAATTATTTTTTTACTTTGCACAAACAATATACAGTTTAACCCAATTATAACGTAATTGGATGTAACGACAACCCTAATATAATATCAAATTTTTATCGTCCCATGATTTTACTATATTAGATAATGTTAAAAAACCTGCTTGTAATGACATAAAACCCTGTTTTAATGTCAGTTTTGAAGCATTCTCAAATTTACAAAATTAGATTACAAATTTTATTTAACAAAGAAAATACTACATGTTCAGTCCTAGGGTCAGAGTCCACTTCCTAGAACAACTGTGGGTGGTACTCTCACCACCTGACTTTGGTTTGCCTGTTTGCAGAGAGAGTTGCCATTTTTTATTTCATTTTGACTCAGTTCTCGGTCCCCCAAGTACCTAAAAGTCCGGTTTTTTTATGCACACATGATTTGGGCACCTAATCCAAATTGTACTCCTTCATACCTATAAGCTGGTAACACAGCAGGGAGTATGATTTTATAAATAAGACATAGTCTTGTCAATTAGTGAGATAGATATATCTATCTCACTAATTATCCATAGTATACCAGTTTCTGTAAATGTGCACAAAGCTGTACATTTTTTTTCTCATTTTCTACATGATATTATTGACAATATATTCAATAGACATAGCTTACCTAGATACTTAGTGTTTTACTTATTTAAAAAAAATATATTTGCATTACAATGCACATACTGCAGAATTATTATGTGAAATTTTGAAAAGTAATTTAATTTTTAAGAAATCATAATAAAATGAATCTAGAGTAAGTAATTAATAATTTTCTATAATTTAGAGTTGTCAATAGCATATTATATATAATTACAGGTATATTGAAAGGATGATGATAAGAGCCAAAAAGAATGCAGCAGATTAAAATAGAATGCTTCACTTCAAAGTTTCTGCTTTATAATTACCGTATATGCCAAACAAAGAAACATTTTGTGTAAGAATTCTTGGAAAATATTTGGTAAGTCCCACATGCTTGGAATATCATTTGTTAGATATAATTTCAAATAATAAATATTTGAGGAATTATTCTGTCATAAACAAAACTATTTAAAAAATTAATTTTTAACCTTTTAATTCTGTCCTCTATTTAATATTTTCATGCAATTTTTATTGAATAATAAAGTACTGTACAGAGATGGGTATAACTGAAATTCAAAAACATTGAAAACTTCTTCACAATTACAATTATTAAGATATGAATTATTAGTAGTAGATAATTTTTCCACTAAAAATTTTTCTATATATGGAATAAAACAGTGTTTACTGCACATTCCAAAGATTGTAGATCCTCTTTTCAGTAATTCTGAAAGATAATTACTACAATAGATAATTGAATTTTGTCGTTTTGTTTTTCTATCTGCTTTGCAGCCAAGTTCCAGTTAACTGTAAAATTGTGTGATTTTGACTGTTTATATCTATTTAAAAATGGAAGAAGACAAGCTGGTTAAAACAAAATTTACCCCCACTTTTATACATTAGTTATATATAAAAATTGAAAATGCATGAAAATTCATAAATTTAAAAATAAAAATTTGAATTGTTAAACTTAACTCTATATTAGTACATATAACCAACAAGCAATGAGGGAGGTCTACCATATTTTATAGACTATAAGACGCAATTTTTTAAAGAAAAAAGTGCCTCCAAAATTAGAGAAATTATAGAAAAGGACTATAAGACGCACTTTTTTCATAAAAAAATTGTGTCTGATAGTCCTTTTCTATAATTTCTCTAATTTTGTAGGCACTTTTTTCTTCAAAAAATTGCCTGAATTTTCTCCAAAATTCAGGTGCGTCTTATACTCGAAATTAATATAAAAATGTCCAGTGTTTGATTTAAAATTCCCACCAGTTTTAAAAATGGCCATATATTTGATGCTGCAGGAAACCTATCTCTATCTGGCAACATTGAATTCAACTGGCAGCAGCAGTGCACCGATGCGATGAACATGAGTTGCGGGGATTCACAAGCTTGCTAACACTGTCTCCCTCCCACCCCACCACACCATCACAAATCCAGAATACTGTCATAGCCTATGATGCGTCATTGCAGTCTACGGTGCCAGTGAACTTGAATTGAAAGTGATTTGTGTTATCGGTAACAGTACAATATTTTTGTTAGTAGCTAGTTTTGTAATGGAAAAAATAAAAGGCATTCATATGATGCGGGCTATAAATTGAAAGTAATAGCATATGCAGAAAAACATGGAAACAGAGCAGCTGAGCGACATTTCGGCCCTCCACCAACAGAAAAAAACCATTCACAACTGATGGGCTAGTAAAGAAGAACTGAAATAAATGTGCAAATAGAGGACTGAATGCAAAATGGCCAAAACTAGATGACGATGTATTGAAATGGATTCAAGGACACCGTCAAAATGGCATTAGAATTAATACAAAAATGATTCAAGTACATGCTCGTAAGCTAGCGCTACAGAGGAACTTAACAGACTTTAAGCGTGGAGTTGGTTGGTGCTACAGGTTTATGAAGCGTCATGGACTTATCATGCGAACCAAAATATCTCAGAAGATGCCACAAGAGTATGAAGAGAAAATATTATCTTTCCATCACTTTATTATTCAATGTCGAAAGAAAACCAGTGTGGAACTAAGCCAAATAGTGAATATGGATGAAACTCCTCTGACATTTGATGTGCCGAGTAACAGAACTGCTGCCCTGAAAGGTGCTAAAACTGTAACTATAAAAACAGGAGGACATGAAAAAATGCACTACAATGTTGTCCTTTCATGTCGTGCTGACAGTATTAAACTTAATCCAATAATCATTTTCAAGTGCAAAATAATGCCAAAACCTTCTGAAATACCACCAGGTGTTGTTGTTCACGTACATGACAAGGGTTGAATGGACGAGGCTGTTATGAAATTATGGATTAACAGAGTGCGGGAGAGAAGGAAAGATGCTTTAGTGAAGAAGAGTTCTCTTCTTGTGCTAGATCAGTTTACAAGGTCTGTTCAAAAAGTATCGGACCTTATTTTTTTCCGCGTAAACCAATGATGCGAGAGAGGCCTCCTTCGGTGGAGTTGTGGAGGGGAGACCTTATTTTTTTCCGCGTAAACCAATGATGCGAGAGAGGCCTCCTTCGGTGGAGTTATGGAGGGGACAGTCATGCACAGCCCTGAATTTTTTCCCACCTGCAGAAAGCGTCAGTCGTTGGCAATCGGCGTATGAGTGAGGTCATGTAGTGCGCTCTGATATTACATCAAATTTTGCCAAAAACCTTGGCGATACCCGAGTGTAAACCATTCGCAAGATTCAGCAGGCTTTCGGGGACGATCCTCGAGGCCAAAAAAAGCGCGGCAGGTCCGCAGCAATATCAAAGGTCATGTTGACAGTTTTTTCGACTCTCGTGGGGTGGTGTGTCGTGAGTACGCACCACAAGGCCAAACCATCGCAAAGGAGTACTACCAGGAGGTCCTTCGTCGTCTTTCCGATACAGTGCGATGCAAACGATGGGATCTGTGGTCGATCAAAACTTGGCAGCTCCATCGTGATAACGCATCCGCCCATTCTGCGCATCTGATTCGGGCTTTCGTCGCCAAACACAATACTCCTGTGGTTCGTCACGCTCCGTATTCTCTCCACATGGCTCCGTGTGACCTTTGGCTATTTCTCAAGCTGAAAATGCCGCTAAAAGGAACCCAAATTTAGTCGAGAGAAGACATCGTGCGAAATGCGACGGACCGGCTGATAACCATTCCAAAAGATGCGTTCCAGCAGTGTTTCCAGCAATGGCAGAAACGCTGGGAGAAGTGTATACATTACCAAGGAGACTACTTTGAAGGGGATTAGGGTTTTGTTCCTCAAAGTCAATAAATTTATTTTTGCCGACCAAAGGTCCGATACTTTTTGAACAGACCTTGTAGTAGTCATTTGAAAAATTCTGTGAAAGAGAAATTGAGATAGGAAAATACAGAGTTTGCTGTTATTCCAGGAGGACTTACTTCACAATTGCAACCTCTTGATGTCTCAATAAATAATTTAAAGTGTATATGAGAGAGGAATGGAACAAATGGATGATGGATGAAACCCAACATGAATTCATGCTGAAGGAAGGTTTAAAACGACCTACAATCAAACAAGTGTGTCAGTGGATAAAACAGTTGTGGTCTAGAGTGACAGAAGACATTATTGTTAAATCTTTCAAGAAGTGTGGCATGAGTAATGCTCTCGATGGCAGTGAAGACCATCTTATATATGAAGAGGACGACGATGAAGAAGAAAGTTCAGATGACGATTTTCAGGGATTTTAAAGGTCAGTTCAGTTTTATAAACTAAGAATTTTTTTAGTCTGGCTTTGCAATCTAATAATAAAAATGGTAAAAATGTTGTTTTTTTAAAAAATTGCTTAAAAATTAAGGTGCCTCTTATAGTGTGAAATGAAAGACTTAAATCCAATGATCTGAGATTTGGGGTCTTGATCATATTTGAAATCGAGACCTCTCAGGACCAATAGGAAAGTCCAAACTACATGTCAACAAAACAATTAGTATAACAATAAATTCTGAATGACATATCTAAACAGTTTATATATTTGATTAAGAAATTATGAATTTTATAATTCAAAGATCAGTAACTGTTGAACACCATTAAAGAACCAATTTAGAGGATTAACAAATATTAATAACCTATTAAGCATTGTGCAGTTATCATGGTTATAATGTGAGAATAGTGAACATTTACCTTTGAAGTTTTAAATTCAGAATAGTATTTAATCTTGAAGAAACAATCTATTCTAACTACAGTATTAGGTTAGATGCCCTTAGAATCAAATTAATATATTTTAGATGTGAAGACATGAGAGTTTTAAGATTTTTCTGAGGGAAAAGTTTTTAAATAATCGATTTTTTCAAGTTGCTGCTGAACATTGCTTAATTTTTGTTAAATAACATTATTTTATCATTTACACAGTCTTCTGCATAAACAATAATTTTGTTGTAATGCTGCATCATAATATCATTAAATTAATCAATCATCATCTGCAGAAGAAATGTAGCTGTTCAGCAATCTAGAAAATGTCCCTATAATTTTGTTATCTTGGATTGCAAATCAACCAAGATAAATGTATTCTGTAAAAGAACTCTTAATATTTGCTACTCTTATAGGAAATTATTATATAATTTCTTCAATTTTGGAGTTCATATACAAATAAATATATGTACTTTGAGGTCAATTTCAATTTCCAAAACTGTCTGCTTCTAAAAACACTTTCAGATGGGTATAGAGCATTGTTATATAAATATTAATACTTACCAAAATTACTCCCAGGCTCCATAAATCACAGGATTCATTATAACCATTATTATCAGAACCTGTAATGGCTTGTTTTAGCACTTCTGGAGCAGCATAATGAAGTGTAAAACATGGAGTCTTCATTGCTTGATTTTCAGGTTTAAATCTTGCGAATCCAAAGTCTACTATTTTAATTTCGGAATTTTCAGATTCATCGGAAAACAGGAGATTCTGTAAAATTATTAATGATTAAAATCAGTAATGAAAAAGTGATATTATAGTAAGATATATTCTTATACATTTTTTTGAAAGCAGAACACATTGTAAAGATTTAAAGGTATGCCATGAACTGTTAGGCTTGAAAATTAAACACATCTTTCTTTCAAATATATCTTTTATTATTTCTTTACAGTTCAAATAACGTTTGTATTTAAAAACTTTAATTAAATTCCTATTATACTAGACTAACTCTTTCCAATAAATAATTTACAACTTATGCTTTTCCTCTCTAAATATAGTTATTATCTGTGTTCTTTGTTTTAAACACAAAACACTGTTAATCAATATTCAGAGACTATTTATGCCATTCTAGACAATATTTATAATATCAAATTAATCAATACTTATGTTACTAGAATACAAGTACAGTGGGTGATTGGTTAACAAACATAATCTGTTCCAAGACTTTGTTCGTTAACCGATTATCGATTTACCATAGGTTTCTATGGAAATTTGATTAATTCATTCTGGAGACCCTCAAAAAATAAAAAATATACACTTTCTTACTACGTTTATTCATATTTAATAATAAAAATACGTATATACACGGTCTTGCATTTTTATTAGTCATGTTTTTTCCGTTTGTGGGGGTTAAAGAATCTGTCTAACATTGATTGCTTTTTCTTTTCTTCAGGATTTTTCAGAAGTAATTAATCGCATTGTAATTGTACAGATCCCTAAGCCTATTAATCTCAACCTGGTTTGGATGCCATTTTAAGACCATTGTTCTGACATCCTCCCACTTCTTCAAAAGATCCTTAATAGCAGATATCAGCAGAAATCCGATTTTCAAAAGAAAAAGTAAAAGAATTGTTTCTCTCAGAAATCTAAAAGGCTGGAATTACAAGGGAGAGTTTCAAAGTTCGGGGGAATACTATTCGATCAGTATAGGCTATACTGAGTAGCATGTCGATGTTGACGTCTCCCGCGCTCTGAAAGTTTCGAACTGTTGCTTGAAGACATAGGATGAACAATTGGTATTCGTTATTTTACGTCGCTTCTTCTTGTCTTTGTTCTGTGGGGTGTTCGTTATCCGATCATGTGTTCATTGTCCAAACATAAAAATCTTTCGCAAAAGTGTTTGTTATCCAACTTGTTCGTTAACCGATCACCCACTGTAATAGTGGCATATAACTTCTATTTTCTTCATAAATATTTCTACAATGATTGAATTACTGAAATAGACAAATGCAATCATCATATTTTGTAACGATAATTATCAACAAATAGTGTGCGAATTTTTTATAGCTTGTCATTATAAATAATATTTAGTGAACTATATAGCCATTAAAAAGGACGCAATTAAAATTCACTTGCTTCTTTTGCACGAATTGAGAGCACCAGTTTTCCTTCCAATGATCTGTCATCAATCAATTTTGAGGCAAACTAGACATATCAGTATTCTTGTGTCAACAAAACTGCTTCCTTCTGATATTATCAGAACACAGAAAAAACCATGTTCTTGTAAAGACATTGCTTTTATTAAATGTGCATGATGTCAATAAGTGCTTTGTTGACACTATTCAAATGAGCGTAAAGATTTTCATTTGGAACACAATTCCGAGGCCAATATACTTATATTGTATAATACACGAATAAAATTCCTTCTAGAATTCTAGAACAATTTTAATTTTTTCCATTGAATAATAAAATGTGTTTATTATACATATATATTAGGTCAAAAACATGATTGTGTATTACAAGAAAAAATTGCTTTATAAAAACATTTCGAAAGAAGAGAGGTGGGAAGCCATGGCATCAAACTTGCCAATGAGCCATCTTACTCATTCAACTATGTTCACCCATAATTTATTTTTACAAACTCTACATGTAATTAAAACTTTGAAAATTCATATCTTGCAAACCCTTATACATTGGAAAGAGTTACTTTATTGTGCATTAGTCGGATAAGTGTTCTATAACATATTAAAAAAAATCAAACAATTCAAAGATGGCAAAAGTTAATGGTCACTTGTAAGAATGAAATTAAGGCACAAAAATATACTGAACAGAGTACTTGAAAAAAAATTTCTATTACTAATCCCAACATTCATTAAAGAATCTGTAAACCCAGTGCAGAACAAGATTTGTTTCTGTCAAAACAAACAGGACAAATCAGAGTGGCTAGAATAAGAAAATTTTCCTGATGCATTTTTAATTTCAAGTTATTTATAAGTAAATTGTAAACTTAATTTTTTGTAAAATAGTTTTTAAAAATCTAATTATCAATACTGTATTTCACCAACAGAAATTCAGATAAAACCAGAAAACAATCAACAACATACTGTTCAAATTAAAAGCACAGTAAACAAATAAAACTTAATTATTTTACTGGTAATAGCCTTTTATATAATGGAAAAGGTGCAAGAATTTTAGCATTTCTTTCTATTAATAGACATTCTTAATAAACAAAATTTTTGCCATCTTATATCTATGGAATGAAATCATTATGGAATTTGGCACATGTTGAAAAGCATGGGAAAGCAATGTTAAAGTATTGCACTGTATAGTATAAAATAGTTTAACTAAAATTCTACCTCTTCAAACTGTCTAGAATCGGACAACACTTTCAACTCCGAGATTCATGGAACATTTTTTGAAAAAATTATGAATATTAAGCATAGAAAAAGTCACAATAGACTTTATAAGTTGAGACCTTGACTCATATGACTGCATCACAAACATCAGTAGATGTGAATAAAACATACTCACCAAATTAGCTATGAAACCAGTAATAATTTTATGTGTAACCCATAAATAGAGTCAATAAAAGGTTTTGATAGTTTGTAAAATGTATAATTAGTTAAAGTATTTCTTTCAATTTTTACTTGTTTGTCTCCTGTTACATGTTAATAAACCCCAGTTCAAAAAACTCCTCAAGAATTTAATCAAGAAAATACTTATTAGGAAATACGAAATTATTTTCTTTAAAAGAAACTTAAAACATATACAGTAAGACCCTGCTTAATGTGGGGGATGCGCTCCTAGCAACAAAGCACTAAGCAAAACAGTGTTAAGCAAGTTCATTTTAACATAGAGTAAATAGGGAAAGGGCAAGGATGCACAACCTTTTCTGAAAAAGGGCCAAATTAGGATTAAGTTTACTGACTGGGGGCCGGATCTCCAAGTGATTAATGCGATGGCTGAGATTGGATGTCTGGTGTAATGGCAGATGTTGGAACAACCAGCAGATTTTCCAAATTCTTGTTGGTTAACCTGTTCCGTGTTTTGCACTTGTTTAAATTCATAAACGAAAATGCTTGTTCGCATACAAAGGTACTGCCAAACATGCTTGCACAAAATCGAGCATTGTCTTTCAGTTTTGGAAATGATGTATCTGGCAGTTCTTTGTAGAATGTGAGGAGATTAGAATTTTTAAACTGTGATTTCAATTCATCACTGCACTGGATGTCTATCAACTCAAGTTGGACATCTGGAGGGGCATCTTCCACTTTCACATCAAATGGAGTTGAAAAAAGTTGCAGGTAGATCTTGTATTTCTGGAATTCACCAAACATCTCATTGAATGATGTAAGGAGAGTGTTAACTTGGTCAGAGTAATCCATCTTCATATGTGGATATTTCTCTTTCATGGCATTGCAATGTGGAAAGTATGTAAAGTTCTCTGATTGCATGTGCAACTTGAAAAGTGCTAGTTTGGTCATAAATGCATTGATGTTACTTGCCAACTAAGAAACAAGTTGCATCTTTCTCTGCAATCTCAAATCAAGGTCGTTTAGATAAGCAGTAATGTCAGCAAGGAAAGCTAAATCACACTGCCATCTTTCTCCCTCCAAATTCCTTGTAGTTTTCCCCCATTCTTGGAGGAAAGTGATAATAGGCCCCAATAGCTCCACAAATCTTGAGGACTTGCATTGCTCAGCCAACAAACTTCAATATATGTGGGCAGGTCAGCATAATCAGCATCTATTTCTTCAAGAAATGATGTGAAGATTCGATGGTTGAGTCCATGACGGAGGATTAAGTTCACAGTATCATAGACATCTTTCAGCAGACGTTCAAATCCCAGCTTCTTTGCACAAAGTTGCTGTTGGTGAATTATGCAATGATACTGGACTAACTCCTTTTGACTGTCCCCAAGGTGGTTTTTCAGCAAGGTGACCAGGCCATTCTCACATCCAACCATAGATGGTGCTCCATCAGTGGCAATGCTGGATAGCTTGTCAAAGTCCAGTGCTAATTTGTTGCAAAAGCTCAATAAACCAGTAAGTAAGTCAGCACCAGTTGTATGTCCGGAAAGTGATGCCATGCCAAGAAATTCTTCATTCACAATAAAATCTAGTGAAACACTTCTAATAAACACAATCACTTGTGCTATTGATGATATGTCAGTGGATTTGTCCTCAGCCAAAGAAAAATAAGCACAGTTTGCAACTAAATTATTAAGTTGGCCAGAAATGTCTGATGCAATTTGCAAGATTCTCCGTTGTATCGTCATGCAGTTAAGTCTGTTTGAAAACACTTTGTCTTCTCACTTGTGATGATAAGACACTTTTTTATCATATCGCCATCTGTGAAAGGTTTCCCATTTTTGGCTATTAAAGCAGATATTTCTAAGCTGGCTTCAACAGCCGCATCCAATTCTCCAGATTGTTTCTTGAACACATTTTGTTGGCTGGTTAGTGATCATTGAAACAATTTGATTTTTCCATTTGCGTTCCGTACCTTGCAGAAGGAAATTCTTGTGTTGGCTTTCGTGATGTCACTTCAGGTTGAATTCTTTTGGCACTGCTACTGTTCCATTGCACAAGAGGCAAATAATGCTGCTGTTCTGTTGCACAAAACAGTACTTGCTAGTCCACACTTCTTGAAACTGACAATTCTCGCAATTGACCTTGCGTTTAATACCAAGCGCCATATTGTTGTTCACTCTGCAAAACAATGTCTCGTTGTGCCGAAAATTCCAAGGCCCGCAATGAATCGTGTTTGAGATAAGGCAAGCTAGACTACCACATGCTTTGTTCTGTATCCACTCTGACCAAAGACTATTATGCACACGTGACAAATGGCCAGGCAGGTCTTAATTCGTTCAACTCCTGTCTGGGCATCTCCACATTTCTCAAATTTGTGAGTCAAATCATCAACATGCCAGGTGCAGGACACTAATCCATCATAAATGTGGTTACCATTCTTACCTAAATTATATTTATGGCCTGTCAGTTTTACCCCCCCATGTTCAGAAATGAATCAAAAGTGTTTAATGTAGTGCAGCGGAAAATCTAAATTTTTTAAATACAGTCGACCCCCCCCTATTTTATATAAATTCAATGTTGTACGAGTCACTTAGATTTTACAAATACGTGTGCCGGATACTATGAATGGCTCACGTATTTGTAAAATCTAAGTGACTCATACAACATGGAATTCATATAAAACGGAAAAATCAACAGTGTTATAGGGGGGTCGACTGTATAATTATTAAAATTGCGATATCTTGTTTCAAATTGGCACTAGAATCAATCACAAACATATCACAGTTTACAACTGTTAAATTTCAAATTAAATTATTATTTTTATTTTATTTTAAATTTATAAAAAACAGAATGTAAAAGTAAATAAAAAGTTCTAATTAATTTACTACTTAAATAACCTAAATATATCTGTTTTCTTTCAAACAAAAGAAACCGCAGCTTTCTAGCTACACGGAATCATTTTACAACCCTCTTTGTTGACAAGAAGTTTATGGCTTGACATGGTTTGTAATAATTATTAAATCCAAAATATTTTAGTGCAAATGGCTTCCTTTTAGTTGTATGACTCTATTCCAACTACAGTATTAATTTTCTTGGTCCAACTTAAAGAATAGAACAAAATTTTTTTACATCAAATTTATTATTATTGTCTATGGAGAGATATTATTGTAAATTATTGCTTGTTATAGCTTTTGTACATTCCTTTTTGAACTCTGGTTAGTTTTTTCTAGTTTGAATGACATTAGGTTGACAAATAAGCATCTTTTCAGAAGAGATTGATTTAAATTCAACTATACCAATCAGAATCTAGAATGTAAACAAATGCTAAAAAAATCTTTATTTTCATGGTTTTTCAGTGCTATTTTCACTTATTTTTGTTATTTGACGCTATTTTCCAAAGCATAAAATTGAAAATTTCCCACCAAAATAGAAACTTCCTGATAACATCGGAAATGATGTTCTAACATCATTTTATTCTATTTGATTCTTCAAAAAATCGTTATAATATGAATATTTTAAGTCTAATACATAGTATCTAAACCAGAAAGTGTTAGCTAGAAATAGAACCACCCCCATTTCTCACCTCAGGGAAAGTCATAAAACAGTTGGGTGCTAATAACTTTTAGAACTTTTCCCTTTCACCACTTAGAAACTTGGAAAGAAGGGATTTGATCTGTACTGTCAGGGCCACATAAACATTGAAAGGGGGCTTCAGGTTGTGCACCCCTGAAAAGGGGAACACGCAACCAAAAATAAAAAAATTCTACTATAATTTTGAGTTATATTATTATGCAAATTAATATAAAAATGTTAAATAACACAAACATAGGCACACAGAAATCTAAAGTTCAATTTTTGTGATGAAGGTTCTGGATTTTCTAAAATTCTTGTTTTTTGTGATAGAGTCGTGTAGTTTCATTTGTCACTTTTTTCTTTCCTTAAGCAAATGTCAGTAGCAGAAGATTGCATCCAAAATGCCTTGTTTTGCTTTTGCACTCCTTTCAAAATCTGAATGATTTACTACAATGATCAATGATTTCAGTTATCATTACCAAGCTTTTACTAAGGAAATCTGTAGTGAAATGTTTTGGGTTCTTTGTTTTCTGAATCTCTCTTTTCCAGTTCTACATGAATTCCTTGTTTTGCCAGTTCTTGAAGGTTGTTGTTGGTGAGACTCTCGCCAGAAACCTGCAGTAACTCCTCAATATCCTGCTCGTCTACATCTAATCCTGCTGTATCGATTAGGTTGACAATTGGTCAACTTAATGATAAAGCGATAGGCTCTTCTTGTTGAGAATTCTTGGATACCTTCAGCCATAGCTGATAAATGCATGAATGAAGTGTGGAAGAAGTTAATTCTTGCCTATGGCATCGATAATGTTATGTTTTCTCCAAAATTGCACAAAACAAACATAGATTTAAGGGAAGTACAGCGCTACGATGAATTGCCACCTGTTGCTGATTGGTTCGTGTTCGTAATTATATACGAATCAATGAAATGCTGTGATAATTGAAACAATGTAAATTTTGAATATTTTTTAAACTTCGAGCAGACCGCATTATATCGAATCAGCGTTAAGCGGGGCCTTACTGTTTTTAATTTACTTTCTTATATATATATATACACATAAAATAGACAAACCTCTGGTTTGAGATCTCTATGAACAATCCCTCTTGCATGCATGTAACTAACTGCAGATACTAACTTCTGGAATATAGAAACTGCTTCTTTCTCAGTAAATCTCGATTTTCTTCTTATTTTTTCTAGAAGTTCTCCACCTTTTAGGAGTTCCAATACCATATATGTATGGGTCTGAATATTAAAAATATATGTGAAGTTAAGAGTTGTTTTAATGATATTTTTATTAATCTTCTTCAAAGTAAATGTTACAAATATTCTAAAAACCAACCTCGTCTTGAAATACTTCATAGAAATTAACAATATTACGATGTCCTTGACAAAACCTAAGGAGCTGAATTTCCCTACTGCTATCAATACGACGGCTAATAATTTTGACAGCATAGGCAGCACCGGTTCGTTTGTGAATACATTTTCTACGTATTTAAAATTATAATATTAGATATATAAGTAACAGATATATATTTAAAAAAAATCAATTCTTTATACATTTAACTTTAATACTTTTATATTATATTAATTAATATATCTAAGTAACAGTAATATTTACAAATGGCATTACCTGCATACAGAAAAGCTACCATCTCCTAGAAATCCTTCTTTAATGACAAGATCATAATGTTGGAAAAATGGCGAATTCTATAATTAAATAAGAAAAGAAAATGCACGTCTCTGTTAGTAATTTGACAGAATTTAATAAAAATAAATTATAATATGTTTTTAAGTATTTACTCTGAATTTTGCTGCCACTAAATGAGACGTATTTGGTTTATTCTCGTGGGACGGACCAAAAATATCATCACTAACTGCATTTTCACTAAAAAGTACTGAAGGTGCTACATAAGAATAACCCTGAAGTAACAAGCAAAATTTTTATTATACAGATATTTTATTTTTAAGTAGATCTTTGATTTTTCATATACCTTAAATAAAGTATCATCACTCAGTGGGGTTGCAACAGGGGAATTAGTGGGTTCCATCTCCGTGAATTCAGCAGAAAAGTTACTCACGTCAAGTTCCCCCGTAATCTTAGGCACAAATGGCGCAGGAATTTTCTTCTGGGCAAGCTCATCCCAATTAAGACCCTGAAAATATAATCAAATTGTAAAATTTATAAATAAATCATCCTAAATTAAACTTCAGGAGGAATAGGAGAAAGTAATTAATTACCTTAAAAAATTTATGCCTTTTAAGTTCAAGTGCATCTCCAACACCTCCACCCAAACGTTTTCTAGGATCTTTAATCAGTAATCGTTGTATGAAGTCCTTGACTTCTGGAGATAAATGTTCAGGAATGGGTGGTTGGGTCCTCAAAATACGCCTAAAGATGAATTTATATTGAAATTATTAAGGAAAATTCAATAAATTTTTAAAAAATATGATTAATTTTATATAAAATTAATGTATTTCATTTATATTCACTGTTACATGTATTCTAAATTCTTATTAAAAGTGATTATAAATACAAAGTAGAGGAGAATTGCACCTGAACAGATTTAACATTGGCACTGCGCCAAGGTCATTTTAAACAGCTGATTTTTATCAAATCAGTATTTGTATTATTATTTTTTTGTTTTAAAATTAAAAAATTGAAATTTTTATTTGTAATTTTAATGCATAAAATTATTTATGAGAGTGTTATAAGACGAATACTTTATCTTTAAAAACCTCCTAGTCATATTCCATGTATAAAGAATGATTCATTTTTTGGTAGATCAAAATGGAAATTACATAGTTCAATGATACAAAGTACATTAAAACCAATAAAAACTTTTTGACTTTCATTTACATTTAATTAATTACAAAAATTAGCATTTTAAATCTCATCTTTGACAAAAAATTAAAGATACTTACTTAGAAATTTCAGATTGCGTATTCTTTTCGCCTTCTACCGTAAAAGGTGATGCACCCGTAAGCAGTTCGTACGTCAAGACACCGACGCTCCACCAGTCAACAGACTAAATAATTTAATTATTAAATTATTACCTATTAAATAAAATTTAAATTCACAGAATTATTCAAAAATTAATTGATCAATCTTTTAATATCTCAGGTCATTTTCAAATTCTTGTTTGGATAAAAAATGATGTAAAACAATTACACTTCTAACAACAAAAAGATCTAAATGTTCTCATGAAAAACAGTGTAACACATTGTTCAAAAGTATTTGACTTAAGAATACTAACCAATGCCAAAATTTGAGCTTATACACTAAATTATGTTTAATTGGGACATATATATGAATCATGCCAGTTTGTGTAGTTACAGATAAACATGAGAAAAACTCTTCCCATTTTTTTTTGTGTTACATGATAAGTTTGAAGTATGGAGTCAAAGAAAAGTAGCTCTTACAGTAAGCATGTGTTTTATCAAACGTGCTATTTTAACACAATCTACTATAGAACTCAATGACACTTGAGTTAAAAAATGGTTCATTACACATTAACTATCATATAATTGACAATTACTTCATGTTAATTTGTATGCCATATTTAACATTAACCATTGTTTGCTTGACAGATAATGCACACAAAACAAGCTTCTACTGGCATGTTCTGTTGTCCATAGAACCTAGCTGTTAAATAGTATTAAGATTTGCACTCATGTTCAGTTTCATTAGCATTAAGTAGTTATAAGTCTTTCAACTAACAGCCACTTGGCACTAACTTCTACACTTAGCTTTTTGTGGCGGCACTGAATCATTGGTGTTTGCTACACTCAGGTTTTCTTGTTTTAGACCCTTCAGGGGACTATGGCCTTGCAGCCTGAAAACTGCATTCTAAACTATTTTGATATTCCAACTTATCTTTCAAAGCTTCTTTTAGTTTAGCACATACCTCATTTATTCTAACATCTGCATTCAGTAACCTTTTAGGTGTGGCAATACATCTCGATTCTCGAAGACATTTCAATTCTTTGAAAATCAAAAGTTCAATCTCCTTTTCATTGATGCCATTATTAGCAGATTCTAACAGTGTTTGAGTCTTCTTCAAGTTTTCTGATAATCATGCAATTTTGGACCTCAGCAAATCATTTTGCTCTTTAATGATTTAATTATTGAATCTAATTTTATGATTTCACTTTCTTTTTCAGAAAATACTTCTCCAGCCTTCAATACATTTGCTTGTTCTGCTATTTCTTTATTCTTTTCAGTGTTGAATTTCTAAATTTTCCTTCAGATTTAATAATGATTGTATTTTGTGGCCTGAGTTGTACTAATGGTTGATGGAGCAAAAACCAGAGCAGATGTGAGTTGGGTTGTATGCTGTATGGGTCTGTTAGCTGCAACCACCATATGGGTTTGATTTGGGTTTGTCTCACATATTGAGATATGTTGACAATGTGGATGCAATCATCATGTTAGTTTTCCTTGTTGAGGGCAGTTACAAGCACTGTGATTTTGGCCTAAGCATAAAAAACAACAGTTAGTCTAGTGCAGTTTTCCTGCATAGTTTCCTAGTATTTGTTATAAGTGTGCAGAACTGAAGTGGTGGAGCTGTTGCAGACGGTACACAGAGGATGAGAGGATCCTCTCTCTTTTGGTGTTTCTTCCGTTAACTTATTCCTTGTCTGGAGTGCTAGAGTAGCCGCTGTAACTCAAAGTTCTTCTTTCTCACAAGAGAAGTGAGAAACAGATCCTGTGACCCACGGATAGTAGCAGCAGTAATGATACCATCTATTTTGTCTCCTACAAACTTCAGCAACTGTTCCAGGTCGGACTCACTAGTGCCCTTATGACAAGCATGGATGAGTCATTGTTCACACAAGGAATCTGAGAAGACCTGAAGAATTTTTGGTGTTAGGGTGTGTATGTAGTGGTTAAAGAGCTCTCCCAGGGCTTTCAGGGCATGCACCCTATTATTGCACTCAATGAAGAAGTCGTTCAGTTCGGTGGCAGTAGGGTGGATCAAAGGTTGCAGACTCTCTAGGTAGTCAATGTATGACTGAATTATACAGTTCTTATTACTGTATTTCTTCAATAGTAATGCCTTGGTCTCAGAGTATGTCCCTGCAGTTATGGTGATGCCATCTACTAGGCACTTAGCCTCTCCTCAGAGATATCCCCAAAGGAAGACATGCTTCTCAATGTCCAGTATGCTTGAATCCTCATCAATGGCTGCTATAAACTGTTCCCAGATGCATTGCCATTTAGCAATTTCACCTTCAAATGATTCAAGAACCAAGGAAGGCAACCTAATGTGAGTGGCTGCCTGTGATTGACTGGGAAGGGGAGTCTAGACTGATGGGGCGTTCCTGCAGTTGAAAACCTATTGGACTCTAATCACAGCAAGTCTGGTGGATTCTTTCCTTTCTTCACAGGCAGCAGCATCGGTTTCCCTCATCTAGTATCTTTAATTCCCTAAGCCATTCGTTCAACATGTAGTGGGACAAATTGATTTCGTCAGATGGTGTTGAGTCAGAAATTGCATTAAACTTGCCAATCGTCTTTGTTACTGACATTCTTACAGTAGGGCAGCAAAGTCGGAGCTTGCTCAATTCCTTTTTGAAATTTGAATTTATGTGGTTTGGAAATATCTCGGACATATTTTGGAGTATCCATTTCAGTCAACAGTGACGGTTGGGTAACAAAATTGGTTCTGCAAACAACAGAGAAGATGGGACAATATGGCAGACAAATGCACATGACAATGAGTGGGACAACAAACAGATCAGATAATGATGGTAAGAAGTAAGAAGTAAATCTTCATACCTGTTGGCATCAGATCTGTCCAAATTTCGGGTTGGAAGATACCGATAGTCTCACTTGAAGAAGTGATGGTATGAGCGGTAATATTCAAGTTGAATTGAGAATGTTCTTGATCTTCATCAAATCTCAGATCCTGGTCCAGCACCAATACACATTGGTGCTGTGACCAGCATCAACACATATTGGTGCAATATGTATGAGCAATAACACATGTAAAACTTAGTCACTTTATTTCAGTTTGGGATTGAATACATGAATAACAGTGAGACAATGGGTCCACATTCTAACCCAGTCTCTCACATTATTTTCCCATCGAGAGGCAACCTAGTCGTCATATTCTTCACACCAATCTATCTAACAAACAAACTTGTATACTGAAACTCGCAACAATCATGGAATCTTCCCTTGTAAGAGACTAAAGCATCAAACAAAAATTAACCGATTGATGTTTTCAACGTTAAAAGTACTATATCAATTACGTTATCACATTTATTTGCATGTAGAGAAAGATTTTTTTCCTCATTGCAAAATCTATATTTAGAATAAATATATTTTAAATTGATTAATGAAATGCTGCTGCAATACTAGATACTCCAATCTGACTAAATGCAAATGGATTTGTTCACTGATGTTACTTCAAAATGATAAACTAGTGGGAACAAATGACAATTTACCATTGATCTTTGGTGAATGTTTGCAATTTCTACAGATAAACTTTCTATTGAGTTAGAGAATGCCATTTCTTGCTGCAGATTTGGATAAAACAACTTTGTGATATAATGTAAATAAATATATTACGATATTTATTTGTTAAATTATAATTTTATCTAATAATTTTTTAAATTAAAATTAGATCAGATTAAAAGAAGTTAAACACTATAGTCTTGTAATATTTATCTTCTTTTAAACAAATCAAAAATAATACTTACAAAATCATGTCCAACATTGCCACCTTTAACTACTTCGGGAGCCATGTATTCTATCGTTCCACAAAAAGAGTAAGTTCGTTGGTCCTGAAATGGGAAATTGTATCAGAATTTAAGTAAAAGACTGCATTATAACTATCACGAGACTAAATGCTTACAATTTTAAACACATTATAATTAAACATCCCAAAACATTCTACAATACGATTTATTAATCTTTTCAGTCAACATCAAAGTTGAAAAATATATTTGCATCATTTAGAAATCTGGTACATTTTTATGTTTAAATTAGTTTTTAACAGAATGTAGAAAAACCAGTGGAAATTCATCCTTTTGTATCTTGTATAAAACACAAATTGCTAAAACTGCTTACTAAGACCATTCATAAAATGAATATATAATCATTCAATTTCTTACCCAATTAATTAAATAAAGCTAAATGAACTACTATATCATCGAGCTATTTTAAGGTTAATTTTAATAATTAATTGTAAATTTATTTGATTAGAGATACATGTTTTGGCTTCCATATCTTGATAAATTTAAATATTAATTTATTTATATTTATTAATCTGTACTTAGAAAGTTCTGGAAGAAAAGAATAGGTCTGAGCAGAGACTCAAACCTGCAACTCCTGCAAATTGTGCACATGTATTGCCAGTTACACTACCCACACCACATGCAGGTTGCTCAATGTTGTAACATGGTGCAACATTACAACATTTAGTGAGAAATACAAATCACGTGTTCACATTTACGTAATTTTTTAGTGATTTTTCTCTTATGAGTTTTACTTTACCTTTTCAGAAGGGCCCCTAGTTAATATAAAGTGAATTTTGTTTATTAGTCGGTATTTCCAATTACTTATAATTCATTTTAAAAGTATCTTAAACCAATATGCTTTGTTTTATACTTTCAAAAAGAAGAGAATTTCATTTGAAGTATTATATAATACATATTTCAATCCAGAGAAGGAAAAAAATTTATGCATCAAATATAAAAATCATGTATTTTATTCCAATAAAATTAATTACAGAAGTAAGGAGTTGCACGACACACAAATGATGATTTATAAATTTTACGAGCAGATTCATTTTAAATTATTGTGGCATTAAAATTTATGTTAACACTTCTGTTATTATTACACACATATATATATATATATATATATATAAGGGTCAACTTTATTTGCATATACAATTATACTTTTAATCAGTTAAGTGAACTAAATTTAGTAATAACCTTTAGATATTGAGATAAAAAGGGCTTTAAAATAGATCTTTAAACAACAGATAATACGCTATTATCACTAATAGTTATAATTTAAAATATTTGATAGTGTTTAGAAAGATATTTTTAGTTTTACTGATGTCATTTGTTGATAAATTTCGGTTTAAAAAATTTGACCCTTGTAATTTAAAATTAGAAAAATGAATTATTTACCGTTTCATGAGGTAGAAATTCTTTACTAAGTCCAAAATCTGTTAGAACAACATGACCACTGGAATCTAATAAAATATTCTCCAATTTTATGTCTCTATATATGATGCCAAGCTAGAAAATATTAAATTTGAATACAATTATATTAAAATTATAACTGTATGAATGTATATTTGTCAATGAATTAAGTATGAATCGTATAAACTCCATCTCTTAAAAATTATCATACATATGTATACATTAATAAATATATTTTGTGCGCCAAATCTATTATAAATAGACTGCAATCGATGACTTTTTTTTTATTTGTAAACTGATATATCATTGATAAAACAAATACAAAGAACAATATTTTTTATATTAAAAATCATAAACCCGACATGCTTCTCAATGTCCAGTATGCTTGAATCCTCATCAATGGCTGCTGTAAACTGTTCCCAGATGCATTGCCATTTAGCAATTTCACCTTCAAATGATTCAAGAACCAAGGAAGGCAACCTAATGTGAGTGGCTGCCTGTGATTGACTGGGAAGGGGANTAAAGATAACCTATTAAATCTAAAAGTGATAGTTTTATTGTGGTGGTGTTCTGTTTTAATATAAAATTGTTAAAAACTAATCATAATTTTTTTTTGTTTATTGAGAGCTGCAAATACAAGTAATGGTCTTATAATTTTTAAACTTTTTAATATTAACCAGTTTCTTATTGAAATTTTATAGCTTAATTAAAACAGTTACATCAAAATAATGAGTGAGGCTAAAACTGGTTACAGTTTATACAACACATAATTTTAATGATTAATATACTGTATTACATTTCAAAGCTGTTCTTTCAGAATGTCACTGAGGTTGTTCAACCAGAAGATTTAAAAACGTTCTGTTCTATTAAAAGTATTGATTCCAATATCTATAAACATCTCAAAACCCCGATGTTTTTAATAAGAAGCAAAACAATTGCCGTAATGAATTGGGCACTTAGAAATTAATTATTAATAATAGTGATAAAGTTATTTGGTACTAGAGGTAGGCATTAGATGTCACCTCTAAATTATTAGTAAATATTAATTTAATAAAAGATGGGGCCTAAAGCCTACCTCTAGTACAAAATAACTTAGAAATTAATTATTAATAGTAGCAGTAAAGTATCCCGATTCATTACGGTGATCATTTTGCAAATTGTTATATCTTAGTCTAATTCATTTGGTTTAAATTATTAATGTAGAGTCATTATTATTTTGTTTTTAATACCCGATATATAATTTAATCATTTAATGTTTTGTGATTTGCAAGTGTAATTACTTTAAACAATGCACATATGTAGAAGTAGAATTGAAAAAATAATTATTTTGATTTAAGATGAACTGATAAATGCACACACTGCAGACAAAAAATAGATAGTTTTATATGTATCACATGAATTTATCGTTTCATCTATCATTAATTACATTTAATTCAATGAGGATTATTGAGTACATCAGCAAGAAACATTATTTGCATTGAAATCTTATCTATACTGTGGTTGCATTTTTTTTTTTAAATTATAAATTTCAATACTAGTATAAATGGTTTGTCATTGTGTATCTGTTACTCAAAACTTTAAAAAAACTTAGCTCATTAAAGCCTTTACCTTCTTGTTTATGTAATGTCTTATTACATTCTAAATGTTTATTATAAGCAAAATCTTCATTTAGTTTTGAAACTTTAGGAATTTCTATTTTTAAAAACTTGACATAATATACAATATACTTTATTGCATTGTTTTGTTATTGAAATATATAAAAATATACCTTATGTAAATGTTCCAAGGCTAAAATGATTTCGCCAATGTATATTCTAACTTCACTTTCCATAAAATGTTCTCGGTTATATAGATGAGTGAACAATTCTCCTCCACAAATGTAATCTGAAAATTTTTTTAAATTTATTAATAGAACTTAACATTATTTTTTCTAATAATAATATTTAGTTAAGTGCTAAATTATGGACTTGAAAGTAAATAATTTTGACTAGCTATTTAATTATATAAATGTAGATTCAACTCAGAAAATTACATTTAAGATGAATCTATATTTTACCCAATGAGTGAATCATAGACTTACATTCTAAAGATATCTCCCAACTGGGATTTAAATATTGTAAAATAAGTATTTTTGATATTTTTAAGGTCCTTTGATATAACAGATTTTTGAAAACAACAGACCAAATCACTTGTTTCAAAGTATCTGTCAGTGTAGAATTACCATATTTAAGAATATTAAATTATAATTACTAGAGTCTTCTAGTATATATCCTGTAGATAGCCGTCGGTAGCTATTATTTACATCCCTGCTCAAAAATGTAGTGTTTTCCCTTCATATTTACTTTAATATAGATTATATGTGCACCTCCTAGAACAGCAGTTGCCAAAGTGGGTGCTACCATCCCCTAGGTGGTGGCGAGTAAACCTAGAGAGATGATAAGAAGCAAAGGGGTAGCAGGAGGATATTGAACTCAGTGTCCTAACCAAATGATCCATTTAATCCATTAAAGCAGGTAAGAAGGAACATTGTATTTAATGGTTTCCAAATATAGAGAAAAATGTACAGTAAGCACACAAAGTGAGGTTTGTAGAAAAGTTTTTCTAAGAATATTTCTGAGCTTTTCTCACACAAGGAAAAACAAGTTAGGGGTATTGGGTATAAGTTTATGAAACCAAGGGAGCAGTGGCTAAAAGTGTCTGTTGTACCTGAAATGCCATACAAAACAAAATATTCTAGGACACTGTCCTAGAATATTTTGTTTTGTAGTTGACAATGGCATTTCAGGTACAACAGACAATTGGCATTATCAGAATAACACTTTCCTCTATTACTCCATTATATCAAAATTCGACAGCTGCATGCTTATCTCTTATTTAACATGCAGCGAATGAGTTTAAGGTACAATTTTACAACCATATTCAATATAGAATTACTAGTCAGGAAACTACACATATATGAAATGCATATTCATACTAAGTTTCATTTAGGTCACGCATGATAATACTACAAATCTCTATCATCACAACATATCAACTTAGTTAAACAACCAAATCAATTGGGACAGATCCTTATCAGTTCTTATAATCATTAATTCCATATTATTTGCCTAAAGCTGACACTTCAGTAAATTTATAGTAATTTAAAATAGAGTTAATAGTGAAATCTTTGCTCTAAATATAAGATATTTATAATGTGTTAGTCTTTAATGTAAAGATAACTGATAAAATTTTCTACAACTGAAATAATGTTTATGTTAAAATTTGGACTAGTGTATCTGTTAAGAAGAATTTCTCTAATTACTGTAACTCATTTTATATAACTGTAAGATGATTTAACAGTTTAGTTTAGTTACATAATAATATATATACACAAATATTGAATGCAGTCACATATCAAAGCCATGTAAATGAATAATAAGATCTTCTGTAACCTAAAAAAGCTGCAAATGTTTCATAATTTATGCAATGTACTGTCCTCTAAGCAGAATACCATTATGCCGACAAATCTTTCTTGATCTATCAACAAATCTAACGTAAATATATTAATGTAGGTTGGCCCACAAATAGTTTTTGTTAGAAATTTCATGAAAGTTATTTTGAAAATGAAGCATTACAAAATATTCTCAAGTTCTCTGATATAAAGCTGTATTACCATCCAAGCATGTAAAAACATCTACAATAATCAATGATAATTTATCAATAATTTAACTAGTTTTTCGGCCACCATGTAAATGTAAAGGTTCCAAGATTGTATCTACAAATAAAAAAAAGTAATGTGCTCAAATCCATTGAATAATAAGTTAGCATACTTCCATTCCTAAACTGTATTGATATTTTTCAAATGGCTTTCAAATTATACATATATATAGTATAGATTTACATGTAAAGTTTAGATAACGAAACATTAAATAGCTATTTTATTGTTAGAACTACAACTGATCAAGACTATTTGTAATCATGTTTAGAGCAATCATCTTCTTCTCAATTTTGTAAAATGTTTTATAAATTTTATGAGTCATAATTTATTATATTTAAAATTACAAATATATGTTGAAATATTCATGAAAATTATTGTTTTGTATGCAATTTGCTTTCATCACTGCATATTTTAACGCACGTTACTTTATCATACTAACAACTCGTCGTTTCAGATTTTAAATGTATCTAAGAGACTCGACGAGTTAATTTAGACGGCGTACAAATTAAAGCGGTACAGTAGTTTAATTTGCCTTCTTTCCGGTAACTGTTTTTACATATACAATCAAATCGGTTACAAGGAAATTATGTAAAAATAAAAATTTATAATAGATGCTGATGCAAAAGAAATGAAGGCATTTTTAACAAAAATGAGGTCAGGAATACAGATTTAATTTGAAAAATGTAAACATATGAAATAAGCCAAGCCATCGTATGTAGGTCATTAGTTCAGTGAGAAATTATAGAGAAACTACTGCTACTAAGTATAAAGGGAAACTAATTTTTATAAAGTGATTTCTGATGTATGGGAACGTCTAAAAATAACATTTGAACTGAAAATAAACTATAATTGTTCTTAATATTTAAAAAAATGGAGCTGCAAGCAAAATGTATATAAACACGTTTCATATAAAAAAAATCTTTTGATCAGATTCAAGATATGTTCTTTGTTTTCTAGTACACATGTTCAAATTTAATTGTTTTAGTGTAACTATTATTAAGAACACTTTAAGATATTTTAATATATATAATATGAATGAATGTAACTTCAGTATAATTGTATTTTTGATCACTGTAGTAAGTTATGCAGATAAATACAACAGATTTTGTAATTTACTTTAGAAGCTACTTATCCATGTGTTAAAAAAATCTGATTGTTATGGTCCTAAAATTTTGATTTAAAAAAATTAATTTGTCGGATCTTTTTTCGACACAATTTTAACTATTTGATAAAACTAATTCAAGAGAAGAAAACTTGCTTTATTAGAGACAATAAAGACAAGTTTCCTAATACTTTCGGACTTCTGTCATTAGAAGACAAGTCCTTCTTAAAAATATCCTCTAAAATACAAAGAAACTTGTCAACTGTTTCCTGCTTTATTCGAAACATTTAGAATGCCTTCCTTAATTTCTAAAAACAAGGTTTAAGCAAACTTTAACATTTTAGAACATTAAATTTGATAATAAAGAACTTGTCTGTTGTTATAAAACTCCAATAAAAAAGTTTTTTTGTGCTTTCTGTATAGTCAATGCTACAAAAGTTTAAATAATACTCATCATTATTCTGTAAGAAAAACAACTCACTTCAATGATTTTCATCTCAAAAACATACAATAAAATATCACCTGAATAGCCATTCTTGTATTATTTAATTACTTTTCCCTCTAAAATATACCAAAATTTTTTTGTTAGAAGTATTGTATTTACATTGATGCAGATTTTGTAGGAAGTATTACTGGCATAATTACTTAAATAAATTTAAAATTAGTCTAATTATTAGCATATTTGTTCTGATCTATGGCTAAAACTAAGAGTAAATGAGTTTAAATATTGTAATTTATGTAGTTTAATATAAAATTACTACTCATTCTGTATAGAATGAGCTGCATTATTATTACTTCAAAATGAAAATTAAGAAAGAGATTACAAATAAAAGTAGATAATCATTTTACTACTGATATTATCAATGTTAGTTTATTTAAATTATTAAATTTATAATTCATATACATATGATTAAACCAAGTACAGGTCAAAATAATTTGGCTTTTGGCTTATTTTAATACCATGAATATGCTATAATAACCTAAAAATTTAATTTGTTAGAACTACAAAGCATTTGTAAAGAGAAAAATACTAATTTAAAGGAACTTAAAGTCAAAACTTTGAATAATAAACAATATTTTTAAATTTATCAAATTATGGTAACTATAAATCTGTTCACAAGGAAAATATCCTACTTTTTAATTCATAAACATTGTTTGAAATTTATTTAATTTGTTCTCCAAATATAAGCATCTGATAGTAATATATTAAAGTCAAACGAATGCTGAATTATATTGAGCTATATCATTTATAATTAAGTAAATGCTAAGTAATTTGACACTAGAGGTGTGTTAGGTGCCATCTCCATCTTCAGAGACTGACAAATTTCTGAAAATGTTTATGAATTTTAAAAACATGAAACTTCTACTTTATAAAAAGATATAAATCTCTTGCCAGATGATATGTATATATCGTCTGGCAAGAGATTTATATCTTTATATATAAGACAGACGATCTGCAAGATTTTTTGGGCTATAATCCTGAAAAATTTGCCAGATTGTCTGGTTTATAAGAAGTCAACTAACAAATTCAGAGTTAAATATTTAAACTATGAACTAATAAATTTTGAATATTATCACCAAAGATTTATATAAGCTGAAGAGTTTTCAGTTAGCCTAATTTGAATTTTATATAAGTAGTTATACATGTGTTATTTTCTGAAGAAGTCAGTATAAATTCTGTTTTTAACAGTTCTTTATCAATCATTTCTAAGTTTCTTAGAGTGATGTGATTATTAATGTGTTTAGTGCTGAAGATAGCTTGGAGTGTCTTACACTGCCTCACCCAATATGATAAGGACATTTATGTGTGCCCTTAAAGTTTAATTATATTATTGCTCAGGGAAATTTATCCTTTGTTTATAAGGGAGAAAGTTTATTGTTATCTTACTGTACCCTTCAAAGAATATATTAACATAAAAAAAACAGTACACATCTAAATTTTAAAAGAAATTCCAGGATACTTTTATGCAAACACGAATGTTTTCAATCTTTTATAATTTTAAAATATTCTTCTTTATACGTTTTTTCAAATGATCCTAAGAATGTTCCATTTCTGCATTCCATTTGAAAATATTTTAACCTGAATAAGATCACCTGTGCAAATCAAAAACATTCGTGTTCGCATAAAAATATCCTGAAATTTCTTTTAAGGTTCGGATGTGTACTGTTTTTTATGTTAATATATTCCAGGCTTACAATGTTGGAACTGAATATATTTCATCCATTTGATTTGCATTAGTATTTGTACATTAATTTTTAATAGGTACAAATCGAGCGCCGCATCCTATTTTTCAAAGAAAAAATGCAACACTTAACATATATATTATGAAAAATAAAAAAAACTAAGGCATGTTGGTAGGGAAATTGGTTTTATACTGGTAGCAAACATGTTAATAGCTTTTGTTATGTGTTTTGTTTATTGTATTATACTCTTACAAGAATCATTAAATAAACTAGAATACAGTGAATTATGTTTTTAATAACATATTTGTTTTAAGGTTAACTTGGAAAATTGCTTTTATTAAACTGTTGCTAGTCCTCAATCCTGAAAACGTTATATATTTCATACATTTCGTTTTATTAAAATTTACTAAGTAAATTAAAAAAATAAATAATTATTGTTTAAAATACGATTAAAACTTGATATTTACATAAGATTATATATAGAAAAAAATCAGATTCCTATATTTCTTTTTATTAAGGTGCTAAATATTTCAGAATATGACTAAAGTGAAATATTCATTATTTTGTAATCACAAGTGATTAAAAAAATTACACAAGGCATTAGAAAAAAACAGGTGGTTTCTCAATATTTATGGCTGGATACTACCAGCTTAAGACATGATATGCAGGTGTTTTTTTCTATTTGTAAATTAACATTTGTTGATGGATAATAATTTATTTTCAGGATTAATAGTGTTGACATGTTTAAACTTTATTTCATCACAATAAAGTTGTTAGCAGTCAAATAAATAATGTTAGTTCTGATTTGGGTTAATCTATTTGAAATTTCTACACTTTATTAAGAAATAAATCTCCCTTCAGAATAAAAAAAATGATTTTAAGTACACATACTAGAGAAATATAAAATATACTTACCAAGAATAAGGTGCAATTGTGCATCAGTTTGAAAGGCATAATGCAGAGTAACTAGAAAAGGTGACTGTCTTATTGTTTCCAAAACTTGTCTCTCCGTTTTTGTGTGTTCCAACGTCTTTTGCTTTTGCACAATAGACGCCTTCTTCAACACCTTCATTGCATACAATTTTCGATGATCGTGCCCTCCAAGTTTACGAACCAAAAAGACTTTGCCATAAGCTAGAAACAAATTTTTTAAAATAATTTAGATTTTATAATTGGATATTAGACAACAGATTTTTAAAAAAAATAGGTAATTGTTCTTTAAAATAAGATTAAAACTTAATATTTGAAAACAATCATTTATAGAAAAAAAAATCAGATTTTTGCTATTGTGATTTTCTGTGTAGCAATAACTACATTGTTTGATTGTTCCAATAGTATATTCACAATTTAATTCGACTTTTAATTGGATGTCACAAAATACAATTGAAGATATGGAACATGACAATGGTTATTTGTAATATCAAATAAGTGTAGAATTTTCCCATTGGAAATTAGATTTAAAGTAACTTCAAGCTAGCTCACAAACTATTATAAAGTTGATATAAAACCACTGTTTCTTTGACTCAGAATTATTGGATACATTGAAAACAACTTTTACATTAATTAAAGAAGGCAATAGATACTCTGTAGCCTTTCTAGAAGCAATATGAAATTGCTGTTGTCTAAACCATCAGATCCTGGTGGCCTAGGTCATTCCCATTTCTGAATCAAACGAGATTAGCTTGATAACTTGCTTATTTTCAAGCCTATGAAACAAAGACAAATCAAGAAAAGCAGCAACCTTGCAGAAAGCAGGTCTTTGCAATTCTTTTCCTCCAGCATTATAAGCTGGAGGAAAAGAATTTTGCATAAATTAGAAAGTTTAGTTCATATCACCAATTTGATTTTGTTTAACTAGAAGTTTAACAAAATCAAGCATGGTTTAGATTTCACATTATCAAAGGTTAAATGTTGTATGCTAAAGTCATACATAACAATTATTGTATTTCCAAACTTTTCATACAATTTAATTTATCTTGATTTAGCTCTATATGGAATCATATTATAGCACCTTTCCTCCCCTTANAAGATGAGAAGAATAATACAAGTATAATGTCAATTACTTTAAAATTAAAATATGATTAAAAGTTTTACCACAACATTCTGAAGATATCACAATAAGTAATTTGTTTTAATTACCCAATGGAGAGAAGTAGAGGTAAAATGGTAAATGTGTGGGATATATAATGAAAATGTTATAATCCATTTATTACCTTGATAGACTTTTAGTATATACTGTAATTGATATCTATTCTCATAACAATATAAATGCTTCAATGTCAGATTTTTTTTGCTGTAACATCTGGGATTTTCCATGTTTATGTCATAAAATCACATACAAGATGTTGTACTTTATTTCTTAAGCAAGGCTTTTCATAAGTCAGAGTAAGTTTTGTCAGTGATCAGAGTTGAAAGCAACTGCACAACTATTAAACGTGATTTTCTGCAGTTGCGTAAAACATGTCTAATTGGATATCGTGACAAAGTCAAAATTTTGAAATTTGATCTATGGGCTGAGATATTCGAGGTCAACTTTCGCTATGTAAAGTCTATTAGCAAATTGCTGGATGTAAGTTTATATCAAGTATAAAATTATTAAACCTACATTTTAATTTCTTGTAATATGTATTAATAAAAGTACAGCTTATATGAACACACTGAAGTTTTTGCCGTGCATAAATTATTTTATTTCTGAAACGTTTTCAATCTATTTACTTAATATAGGATATCTTCAGGCTTACGATTAAACCGTTCCGAAATGTATCGCATCGTTTTTCGAATACGTTTCATTTTAAATTTAAAATATTTTACAATAATTGTGTTTTTTATAATTTTTTACAATAATTTTGTGTACATTGAATAAATGAAAAAATAAATAAATAACAATGGAAATAACATAAATAAATAAAACATAGTAAATAAGGCTAAGCATAACTATTAGAAACTTTAAGGGTTTTTATGTCCCATGGTTTTTTCTATCATATACTTCAACGCTTGGAAGCGCATTACCATTCTTTTCATTTAGGCAATAGTTTTTTATTTTATTTTTAAATATTTTCATCTTTTCCATCTCCAAGGCAATGGATGAAGAGTGAACCGTTTTAATGACTTTCGCCTTATCCCATTTTACAATCGCTCCTTCGGTCTGCGCCATAATCGCTAATGTGCCCTTTATCAATGTTATATTTGTGTTCTCGCAGACGTACCGTCAGGTTTCTTCTGGTTACGTCCACATAATTCTTTGCTACTCCAAACTTTTAATTTTCAAATTGTATTTTATAAACTCCAGCTTTCTCTTCCATCTTTTGCGCTGTCTTTATTCCTTAGTAAGCTATAGATATTGGGTGCTCTTTTATAGACCATTCTTGAGTTTTTATAAGTAACCAACTCAATCATCACTCCTACCATATGCTTACTGTATGTGAATTTGTTAATCGCATGTACTTTAGCATCATTTTTGCCCATATTTTCTCTTAACGTTTGATCAGGCCTTCAATTGTGACGGTTCTGTAGCCTAACTTTGTTGCAATTCTTTTAATTCTACCAATCTATGTGAAGCGGTCCTGAACGATGGTGCAATGTAAAAATGCTCTTCTAATGAGTGCGTGCTTAAATGCTGATAATTTATATTTATACAGGTCGTTGGACCAAGATGATTTGTAGAGAAAAGCATGCGTGGGTTTTAAATACACCGCTTTTGTGCATTTCCTTATTTAAATCTTATATCAATGTCCAAAAACTGGAGATGAGTATAGTTTTAAGACCCAATGTATAACCGAGCAACGAAATAAAAAAACTGGTTTACCTAAATTGGAAAACTACAGCATTGGACACAGAAGAAAAAAAAAAAAAAAAAAAACAATTACAAAATTAAAAACAGCTGATTGCTTTCCTTAGATTCTACATTTCTTCTTTCGATATACCTGAACTAGGACAAAATTAATGTCTGGATTCCATCCAAGAATTTCTTACTGTTAACAACTATTCAACTTTTTCTACAGTTTGAGCCATCGAAAAAAGTATTTGATGGTTTGCGTAAATTAAGAAATAATCGTTTTGAATTATTTACTTTTTTCTAATATAAAATTTGTTTGTATTGCATATTTTAATTCAAAAACTTGTATATCTATCTGAATTCTTAAATAACTTTTTAAATTTAAATTGTGTAATATTTTGCTAAAAATATTTCAAAATAATGTAATATGTATCAAGTCGAAAGTTAATATATTATTTTTATGACAAAATAATAATGGCTTAAAGTTTAACGTCAACAATTTGTGGGGGGGATTTGATATTTTAAAGTAACCTGATTGTAGTATCTGTTTTGATAACATAATAACTGGGTGAAATGACTGACATATGTGTAACCTACATACATATCATTACGCATACAGATAAATCATATTAATATAGATATTAGCTAATTATATAAAAAAAGTAAAAGAACCTAATTAAACTCCCATACAATTTTTTAGTTCTTTAATTAAAAGAAAAACAGTAAGATCTAAATTGAAGCAAAATATCTTTTCTATCATACAAATCTGTCCGTATGTAAACATTCGATCCACAACCCGATTTTTGAATTAAAGCCCAAACGAACTACTGGATTATAAGGCTAATTATAAAGTAAATTGACTGTAGGTAAGCAGTTAAACTACCATCTCTTGATAAATTTAATAATTATAAATAAATAAATAAATAATTTATTTTAATTAGAATCAAAACGAGCAGAACTTGGGATATGGTAGACTAATCGCCTATCAATAGTTGAATTATTTTATAATTAATTATTAAAATTAGCCTTAACACAGCCTGATAATCTTGTAGTTTGTTTGGCTTTAATACAAACGTGCCTTAATTTCTAAATGCTCACCCATAAATTTGTCTTTTATTGTTTATTAAAAAGAACTATGTCAGCAGAATCAATTCTGTTGACATGAATTTGTTCGGTATTTAATGCAAGTAAAGTAAGTTATATATATATATATCACTGTTTTCTGTGGTATTGAAGTTGGAAACTCCTTCACTTTTCATGTTAGGCTCTTCTGAATCAAAACTAATGTTGTTTTAGTCAACTAAAACTATGCACTAATCAATAGTAGATTCAATGTTTAAATCCCAGATGTAATTATACTCGGTGCCATTTGAACCATCAAAAATAAAACATTTCTTGAGATTTTCATCCAGGTACTTATGACATTACTGTAATAAACTAATAAGAGTGAACTAAGTTGACTTCTTAAATATTTTCTATTACAAATATTGGTCTAATAAAAACATTAAAATGGCACAGTAGAATTAGTGATTTATAGTGATAGAGAAATAAGACACATGATACTAGAGATTGCTAATTATGACGTAGTATGTCAAATCCAAGACACACCCTATTCTCATAGATACTAAAACCTGAAAAAGATTTACCATATTTACTTAAATGTAATATACACTATCATTTCTTGACTTTAATCTAACAGCATTTAAGTGAGAAAAAGATAAGCACGTCAATTCCCATTGTTGTTGTTACTATTATTTTTTTTATAAAATAATATTTTATACAAATTAAATGTAGCATTTTTTCACTACGTTTGTGTCTAATAGACAAACCAGCTCATCTCCTAATCTCTATTATATCATAAATTTCATATCAACATCTAGAAATTTGATTCTTTTGAAACTTGTATCCTGAATTGTAATTACCCTTGCTTTTGTCTTTTAAGTTTCAATTATATAATAAATAGGTAAATAACACACTAGGTCAATAGTAATGTTTACAATTTATAGTATTGATTGAGTCAGTACATATTAGGTTACTGTGGTAACATTATCCTGTTTTTATATGTAAAAGTTACTACTGTAATTTGTAAACCAATCTGTTACAACTTAGTTACAAAAAAAAATCAATAATGATATATTAAGAAAAAAGAGTAAGCACCATATCTTACATAGAAACAATACAGAAAATGATAATTTTATGTAATTATTGCCAAAATATAAGAATCTATATTTGACATAAGTTTTTCCATTATATTATGTCAGTTGATCAGTGTGCCATTTAATTTTGTTCAGTTTTTGAAATTCACTATTTTCAAGACCATTTTTGGACTGCAATTTTCAAATTGCAAAACTGTAGATTCCTACTGTCATCTTTCCGTCAGTCTGTCCAACCTTCCTCGATCTCAAAAATAGAATTAGAGAGATGAAAATCGAGACCAGATATGGAAAACTTAGGGGCCAGAGCCTCCGATTAACCGTATACAAACTTCAAACAATTACAAAATTAAAAACAGCTGATTGCTTTCCTTAGATTCTACATTTCTTCTTTCGATATACCTGAACTAGGACAAAATTAATGTCTGGATTCCATCCAAGAATTTCTTACTGTTAACAACTATTCAACTTTTTCTACAGTTTGAGCCATCGAAAAAAGTATTTGATGGTTTGCGTAAATTAAGAAATAATCGTTTTGAATTATTTACTTTTTTCTAATATAAAATTTGTTTGTATTGCATATTTTAATTCAAAAACTTGTATATCTATCTGAATTCTTAAATAACTTTTTAAATTTAAATTGTGTAATATTTTGCTAAAAATATTTCAAAATAATGTAATATGTATCAAGTCGAAAGTTAATATATTATTTTTATGACAAAATAATAATGGCTTAAAGTTTAACGTCAACAATTTGTGGGGGGGATTTGATATTTTAAAGTAACCTGATTGTAGTATCTGTTTTGATAACATAATAACTGGGTGAAATGACTGACATATGTGTAACCTACATACATATCATTACGCATACAGATAAATCATATTAATATAGATATTAGCTAATTATATAAAAAAAGTAAAAGAACCTAATTAAACTCCCATACAATTTTTTAGTTCTTTAATTAAAAGAAAAACAGTAAGATCTAAATTGAAGCAAAATATCTTTTCTATCATACAAATCTGTCCGTATGTAAACATTCGATCCACAACCCGATTTTTGAATTAAAGCCCAAACGAACTACTGGATTATAAGGCTAATTATAAAGTAAATTGACTGTAGGTAAGCAGTTAAACTACCATCTCTTGATAAATTTAATAATTATAAATAAATAAATAAATAATTTATTTTAATTAGAATCAAAACGAGCAGAACTTGGGATATGGTAGACTAATCGCCNATAATCATTTTACTACTGATATTATCAATGTTAGTTTATTTAAATTATTAAATTTATAATTCATATACATATGATTAAACCAAGTACAGGTCAAAATAATTTGGCTTTTGGCTTATTTTAATACCATGAATATGCTATAATAACCTAAAAATTTAATTTGTTAGAACTACAAAGCATTTGTAAAGAGAAAAATACTAATTTAAAGGAACTTAAAGTCAAAACTTTGAATAATAAACAATATTTTTAAATTTATCAAATTATGGTAACTATAAATCTGTTCACAAGGAAAATATCCTACTTTTTAATTCATAAACATTGTTTGAAATTTATTTAATTTGTTCTCCAAATATAAGCATCTGATAGTAATATATTAAAGTCAAACGAATGCTGAATTATATTGAGCTATATCATTTATAATTAAGTAAATGCTAAGTAATTTGACACTAGAGGTGTGTTAGGTGCCATCTCCATCTTCAGAGACTGACAAATTTCTGAAAATGTTTATGAATTTTAAAAACATGAAACTTCTACTTTATAAAAAGATATAAATCTCTTGCCAGATGATATGTATATATCGTCTGGCAAGAGATTTATATCTTTATATATAAGACAGACGATCTGCAAGATTTTTTGGGCTATAATCCTGAAAAATTTGCCAGATTGTCTGGTTTATAAGAAGTCAACTAACAAATTCAGAGTTAAATATTTAAACTATGAACTAATAAATTTTGAATATTATCACCAAAGATTTATATAAGCTGAAGAGTTTTCAGTTAGCCTAATTTGAATTTTATATAAGTAGTTATACATGTGTTATTTTCTGAAGAAGTCAGTATAAATTCTGTTTTTAACAGTTCTTTATCAATCATTTCTAAGTTTCTTAGAGTGATGTGATTATTAATGTGTTTAGTGCTGAAGATAGCTTGGAGTGTCTTACACTGCCTCACCCAATATGATAAGGACATTTATGTGTGCCCTTAAAGTTTAATTATATTATTGCTCAGGGAAATTTATCCTTTGTTTATAAGGGAGAAAGTTTATTGTTATCTTACTGTACCCTTCAAAGAATATATTAACATAAAAAAAACAGTACACATCTAAATTTTAAAAGAAATTCCAGGATACTTTTATGCAAACACGAATGTTTTCAATCTTTTATAATTTTAAAATATTCTTCTTTATACGTTTTTTCAAATGATCCTAAGAATGTTCCATTTCTGCATTCCATTTGAAAATATTTTAACCTGAATAAGATCACCTGTGCAGATCAAAAACATTCGTGTTCGCATAAAAATATCCTGAAATTTCTTTTAAGGTTCGGATGTGTACTGTTTTTTATGTTAATATATTCCAGGCTTACAATGTTGGAACTGAATATATTTCATCCATTTGATTTGTATTAGTATTTGTACATTAATTTTTAATAGGTACAAATCGAGCGCCGCATCCTATTTTTCAAAGAAAAAATGCAACACTTAACATATATATTATGAAAAATAAAAAAAACTAAGGCATGTTGGTAGGGAAATTGGTTTTATACTGGTAGCAAACATGTTAATAGCTTTTGTTATGTGTTTTGTTTATTGTATTATACTCTTACAAGAATCATTAAATAAACTAGAATACATTGAATTATGTTTTTAATAACATATTTGTTTTAAGGTTAACTTGGAAAATTGCTTTTATTAAACTGTTGCTAGTCCTCAATCCTGAAAACGTTATATATTTCATACATTTCGTTTTATTAAAATTTACTAAGTAAATTAAAAAAATAAATAATTATTGTTTAAAATACGATTAAAACTTGATATTTACATAAGATTATATATAGAAAAAAATCAGATTCCTATATTTCTTTTTATTAAGGTGCTAAATATTTCAGAATATGACTAAAGTGAAATATTCATTATTTTGTAATCACAAGTGATTAAAAAAATTACACAAGGCATTAGAAAAAAACAGGTGGTTTCTCAATATTTATGGCTGGATACTACCAGCTTAAGACATGATATGCAGGTGTTTTTTTCTATTTGTAAATTAACATTTGTTGATGGATAATAATTTATTTTCAGGATTAATAGTGTTGACATGTTTAAGCTTTATTTCATCACAATAAAGTTGTTAGCAGTCAAATAAATAATGTTAGTTCTGATTTGGGTTAATCTATTTGAAATTTCTACACTTTATTAAGAAATAAATCTCCCTTCAGAATAAAAAAAATGATTTTAAGTACACATACTAGAGAAATATAAAATATACTTACCAAGAATAAGGTGCAATTGTGCATCAGTTTGAAAGGCATAATGCAGAGTAACTAGAAAAGGTGACTGTCTTATTGTTTCCAAAACTTGTCTCTCCGTTTTTGTGTGTTCCAACGTCTTTTGCTTTTGCACAATAGACGCCTTCTTCAACACCTTCATTGCATACAATTTTCGATGATCGTGCCCTCCAAGTTTACGAACCAAAAAGACTTTGCCATAAGCTAGAAACAAATTTTTTAAAATAATTTAGATTTTATAATTGGATATTAGACAACAGATTTTTAAAAAAAATAGGTAATTGTTCTTTAAAATAAGATTAAAACTTAATATTTGAAAACAATCATTTATAGAAAAAAAAATCAGATTTTTGCTATTGTGATTTTCTGTGTAGCAATAACTACATTGTTTGATTGTTCCAATAGTATATTCACAATTTAATTTGACTTTTAATTGCATGTCACAAAATACAATTGAAGATATGGAACATGACAATGGTTATTTGTAATATCAAATCTTGTAAGTGTAGAATTTTCCCATTGGAAATTAGATTTAAAGTAACTTCAAGCTAGCTCACAAACTATTATAAAGTTGATATAAAGCCACTGTTTCTTTGACTCAGAATTATTGGATACATTGAAAACAACTTTTACATTAATTAAAGAAGGCAATAGATACTCTGTAGCCTTTCTAGAAGCAATATGAAATTGCTGTTGTCTAAACCATCAGATCCTGGTGGCCTAGGTCATTCCCATTTCTGAATCAAACGAGATTAGCTTGATAACTTGCTTATTTTCAAGCCTATGAAACAAAGACAAATCAAGAAAAGCAGCAACCTTGCAGAAAGCAGGTCTTTGCAATTCTTTTCCTCCAGCATTATAAGCTGGAGGAAAAGAATTTTGCATAAATTAGAAAGTTTAGTTCATATCACCAATTTGATTTTGTTTAACTAGAAGTTTAACAAAATCAAGCATGGTTTAGATTTCACATTATCAAAGGTTAAATGTTGTATGCTAAAGTCATACATAACAATTATTGTATTTCCAAACTTTTCATACAATTTAATTTATCTTGATTTAGCTCTATATGGAATCATATTATAGCACCTTTCCTCCCCTTAGTAGACCTGTTGTACTATTTTACTTTTTTAACAAATGAAATAATCGTTTTTATTAATAGATAAACATTCTGTCTTAAAAGATTTTATTTTTTGTTAGTAAAAATAACATTAATTTATAAGAATACAAAACACTATGGGCCCTAACTTTTCTCTAAACACAAGAAAATTTCCAGTTTCCACTCTCAATGGCCCCAGGGAGAATTAATGTATTCAATGAAGAATAGTCATTGCATATTACTATCGTAAGTTAAATACAGTATACAATAAGGCATGAATAAAGAAACCTTAAATAATGTGCTGAGTATTTTCAGAATATTTAGTGCTGCATGAAGATATTCTATCATCAACAAAGCACTCAAAGATAATTAAAACATTTAAAGACATTCAGAAACAAATTTTTTGTGTTTGAAAACATTTTCAAATGCAAATTTTCATCTATAATAATATACAATTAGTTACAGAAAGATTACATTCATTAAATTACATTATAAATATGTATTTGATTGTTAGTATATTTTGGATACTCGCAAACTTCAAACATTAGAAAATTCAATTTCCTATATGTATTGTGGAGAAAGCAACCACAATGACACACTTTTATTTTACTTATTTATATTTCTCTCGTGAATGGGATGATGTTAGCTAGTAATAACTACATCATTTATCTTTATTTCTCCAGGTGAGTCCTGAAGATGGGTGTATAGCTAAAAGCGATTTTAAGCTATACACCCATCAAGTTTCACTGTAAAAATGCAATTTGAATTGCACATAATTAGAGATATATCTGTGTACATAAATTTTTTTAAAATTTAATTTCCTTTAATTCAGTTTTACCAATTTGTAATAACTTACTATACTAATTTTTTTTTCTAATGCACACCTTTTTTTAGACTTTTGTAGGTCTCAAAAATTGTGATGCATATTATAATCAGGTGCAAAATTGACTTAATGATGCTTCATTTGCATTGTTTGCTCTTCATTATGCTTGGCAATTTTCATGTATTATGATATCAATATAGTCATGATACAGATCCCTCCCACTAGCTTAGTTTTCATTTTGGTTTTTGTTTCGGAAGAGTTTTAGTAGTCTTTGAACTACAGTAAGTCATGTGAACAATGTCCAGCAGATGAATGTATTATAAAGCTGTGTTTAAGCAGAACTATGCCGAAGAACATGTATACAGATATTTCACCATGATACTACATATATGATAATTGCTATGCTTGTGCATACTGATGTGAAATATTGAAAGCATTGCTTGCTTGCTCACCTTCTGGTGGGATGGTTAGGTATCAAGTACAATGGCTATTTCGCCCCATGTTGAAAGCATTGATCTTATGGTAATTTTGATTGTCATTTTTTATTATTCTCCTCTGTATCTGATAAAAATATCATAAATGAACACATTTGAAAATGTGAGTATTGTGAAGCACTGTAAACATGAAAATTTTGAATAGTTTTATGTGTTTATTACTATTTGAATGCATTAGCATTTTGTGGCTGCATTTTTGTGTTTTCGATACGTCAAAACCCAAAAAACAAAGAAACATGCATTAGAATTGAGAAAACACTGTAATTAATTTCCATTTCTGAGCAAAAATACTTTACATTTATTGAATTACAAAGGTTTGCTATTTTTTTAGATATTATAAAAGCTAAATTTTAAAACCTTATAATAAAATTTACATACAGAATATAATTTTATTGTGGTTTATTTTATTTTAGTGGTTTATTAATAATAAAAAGTAGTAAATTTTATAACATTTAGCAATTTATACAGAAACACACACACACTTCTAAAATAGTAGGCAATTACCATACTAATGAATTTTTATGAAAATGCAAATTTTACTGTTATAAGGTTCAAGGTCAAGAAAATGTATAGACGAAAGCTTTTGTTCAATCTGATAATATGCAGAGATACTCATATTTCTCAGAAATGTTCATTTAATAACAATTAGTAAAAATATTATACTGAGATTTACTAAATTGACATCACAATAAAGTCATATCCAATATATTACAACTACAACAATATATCTTTCATACCAACGAATTTATTGTAAGAAATGATACCTTTGCCTGTCTCAAATGCATTATATTCAGGTTCTGAACCTGAACATGTCTGATAATAATAATAATAATAAAAGGAATTTTTAAATAAATTTTGTGATTAAAAAAGCTTATTTTTGTTATAAATATAAAACTGGTTTTAGTATATTTATGACAAAATTTAAGATTTAATTACCTTATAAATTAACAAATATGGTTATCTAATGGTAAATTTACATATATGATACAGTAATATTGTTTTAAAAAGGAAATACAATAGCGAGGTTGCGGCCAAAGTTTTGAAGTTTTCAACGCAAAAATGTGAATGCCAGACATTCAGTGCCGCCTTCCTGTAAGCCTAGAAGTTTGACAATGGCATTTGGAACGTTGAGCATGATTCCACTGATGTTCCAAATGCCATTGTCAAACTTCTAGGCTTACAGGAAGGCAGTGCCGAATGTCTGGCGTTCACATTTTTGCATTGAAAACTTCAGCTGCAAACTCGCTATTCGTAATTGACCAACTATTAAATTTTTAAAGCTGCAATTTTTAAACATTTTGCAAAAAATAAAATCGCTTTTAAATCAAATCGCTTTTAAATCAAATTCTTTTGCAAGAGGAAATATAATACTTATTGCAAGCATAGATGTTAATTTTATTATATAATTTATATCTTGTTCTTAACTTTCGACGACTAAAGTAAAAAATGTATCATATCGGTGCTTGTAAATGGCTTGTTATTGGCTTGTGGCCAACACATTAAATGACTACATTTAAGTCGAGAAAATGACTGTAATTTTTAAAATTTTAGCCAAAAATATAACACTCAAAATATTGTTAACTGCAATTCATTTGTTCGATTCACCTTTCAAATTAAACTTCTCATTTCATTTTTAACATTCTTGAAAATTTTATTTAAATTGTATATAATATAAATACATATTATATACAGTTCAAATCATAAACTGTATTTAAAAATTATTACAAAAAAAGTATTAGTGAGATTGTAATTGTTATAAATTGACTAATTTAATTAAAAAAATCCAATACTAGAATACAATTAATTACATTATAATATCATCCTTAAAACATAAGTTTAAAAAATTACAAGTTAAAAAAAATTCTTTTTCTTTAAAGCAGAAGCATTTTTTGTAAAATTAATTTTTTATACTTTATTTTACTTGCAACTTTTAATTCTCATATTTCAGAATTTAGCTAAATTTTCTTGTGTAAAAAAGTTCAATAAAGAGAATTCTATTAATTTTTTTAATAATAACAATATAAAATTATATCCAGACAAAAAAAAAAAAAAAAAAAATAANCAAAATTAAAAACAGCTGATTGCTTTCCTTAGATTCTACATTTCTTCTTTCGATATACCTGAACTAGGACAAAATTAATGTCTGGATTCCATCCAAGAATTTCTTACTGTTAACAACTATTCAACTTTTTCTACAGTTTGAGCCATCGAAAAAAGTATTTGATGGTTTGCGTAAATTAAGAAATAATCGTTTTGAATTATTTACTTTTTTCTAATATAAAATTTGTTTGTATTGCATATTTTAATTCAAAAACTTGTATATCTATCTGAATTCTTAAATAACTTTTTAAATTTAAATTGTGTAATATTTTGCTAAAAATATTTCAAAATAATGTAATATGTATCAAGTCGAAAGTTAATATATTATTTTTATGACAAAATAATAATGGCTTAAAGTTTAACGTCAACAATTTGTGGGGGGGATTTGATATTTTAAAGTAACCTGATTGTAGTATCTGTTTTGATAACATAATAACTGGGTGAAATGACTGACATATGTGTAACCTACATACATATCATTACGCATACAGATAAATCATATTAATATAGATATTAGCTAATTATATAAAAAAAGTAAAAGAACCTAATTAAACTCCCATACAATTTTTTAGTTCTTTAATTAAAAGAAAAACAGTAAGATCTAAATTGAAGCAAAATATCTTTTCTATCATACAAATCTGTCCGTATGTAAACATTCGATCCACAACCCGATTTTTGAATTAAAGCCCAA